GTTGAGAGAGAGGATGGAGAAGAAGGTTTATTTTTTGGGAATTTTGTAACTTACTCAAATTTTTATATTTGGTTTGAGATTTTAATATATTCTTAAAAATTTGTTAAGATTTTTTTTTTGAAGAACAATTTACAAATTTATTTCTTAAACTAAGAAGAATTTGATAATTTTATGGACTATTTGTTGTGTTGTATTTTATACTTTTTAAAATATTAGTGCTAATTGTAATTCATTTAAAAATAATATTTTTTTTTTAATTCACAACATTCTCATGCAAACCAAACACAGTAATGTAATATTCTTGAGAATTTGGAAAAAATTCATGTATGGAACCAAACACAGTAATGTATTATTTCTAAGAATCATATTACTCTCCATTACTTTTCTGAAAATATGATTTCTACTGATTCCTGCATACCAAACACGCCCTAAAGACTAAGAGACGCTCCCCCGAGTCTCCTACCCGGAACGAACTGTCGTTTGAATATAAAGAGCTGTCGTTTAGCACCTGAAACTCGACACAAGTCCCCAAGTGAGAGGCAGTAGTCACGCACACACACTCCAGCCTTCTCCCTCTGAGTTACAACGGCAGGATAATGGAAAGCGATTCAAATTTTTGAGTGATCAGCAAAAACTTCAAAAACAAAAACAAAAAATCAAAGAGAGAAGAATGGGGGAAAACGACATCGAAGTGATCGAGGTATCATCGGCTTCGTCGTGCGACGACAAGAAGAAGGTCAAGAAGGTTTTTGGGTCAAACTCATCTTCACCGGGCAGCGAAAGTGGGACCCCAATAGGACATATTCTCTGCCTCAAGAACTCCGACGATGTTAAACGCTTCGAAGAAACCGAGGATTGTTTCATCCTAGACTTTGACCCTTTTCAACCCATTGATCTATCCAAGCTCATTGTCTCCGCCGCCGTTGACGACGGATACGCTCCTGACCTCGCCATCGTCGCCGAAACAGGCCAGGTTTGCTTCAAATTTGCTATCTGTTTGGCTGCCAAGAAAATTGTTGGGAAAAGTTTCCTTCTTTATTATTATTATTACTATTAATTTATTATTCATAGAAAACCCAAATTTGTCCACTCGCCCTTTTCAAATTTTTGTTCTTTTTAATTTGCCTGGAACGGAATTTGGATTGATTACCTCTTTATATTACAGGATTTAAACTTTTGGTTTTAATATGTTATATGGTTGGCATTTTGGATTTGTAGAACTGGGTTTTTCTTGGTATTCTTCATATTTTTGTGAGCTTCATTTTCCTTATTATTACTACTTTGTTTCCAATAAATAATAATGTTGTGTATATATATATATATATAGGTGGCTTGTAGAGATTACCCACATTCAAGGCACCTTTGTGCGAAATTCCCCTTTGAGGCAACATCTCATGAAAGCCATTGTGATATGGTAAACTAAGTTTTGAACTTCCAAAGCATGTGAATTTTTTGTGTGCACCAAATTTCACCTATTTTTGTTCATGAAGTATTGAAATTAGAGACCTTTTTTTTTTGTTAATTTTTTATTTTAGCTAAATAGAGAGCATTTGATTTTACAGTGCTATTGCTATGTTTGCGATACACCTGCCCCATGCTTGTCTTGGACTGAGCCAAAACCAGCACATTGCCATGCTTCAGAGCACAAAGAAGATTGGAAGTCCCAAAGGCATATGCAGAGAAAGCAACCTGTTTTTCACTCTTGAGTCAAATTTATGCTTATATAATCTGATTTTGTGGCTACTTTAAATTGGTTTCTAGTTGTATCTGCTTGTGGGTAATTCTAGAATCTTCTTTTTAGTTTTTGAGAGGCTGTTTTGGCAGATGCAATCTTTGGTCTTTGGAAGTCTGTATATTATATATTATATCATACTATATATAGGAGTGTTATCTTAGTTCGCTTGTAGAGGTGAGCTTCAGTGGACTATTCCTAATGTTGAATTCATGAACAGTGTTTTCTGAATTCATTAATCCCCTACAAAAAAATTGGGGATATTTAAAGTGACAACTAATACCCTTAAAAAGAGGTCATGCGCAAATCACATGCCACAAAATCTATTATGAATTTAACAGATGTTCATAAAAGGTCCTTGCTTGCAAGGATTTTCAAATTGAAGGGGTTAATTTCTCGGAAAAAATAAAGAATAAGGATTAATTGTCAAATTCAAAAAGTTGAAGGGGTGTTCGTATAAAAAAGTGAAAAAAAAAATTCTACTAGCACTGTGTTGTTTTGTACTTTCAAATTTTTATCAAATTGTATTAGTTTATGAAGAATTCTGATGGTCGACAAACAATTGTCATATCATATCAGTGTTAAAACTCTTAAATGCTTGTTTGGTTTGATGGTTTAAACTAGGTAATTTGAATTAAAATTAAAATTTTGTGAGAGAAAACACTATAATATAACTTTTTAAATTCAAATTTTTATGAGAGAAATTACTGTTTGAAACAAAAGTAAGGTGATTTGAACTCTCAAACTAAACAAGCTATAAAGTATTCATTTAGTTCATGGGTTCAAACTAGATAGTTTTAAGGGCTCGTTTGTTTGCTGCGTTAAAACTCATGGTTTTGATTATGTTACAATATTTTCTTTTCACAAAAAATTTGAATATGAAATGTCAAAATTAAGAATAACTGATTTAAATGAATGAACCAAACGAGCCTTGAAAATTTAATTTCTATAAGAAAAAACACTAACAAAACCACATGAACCAGGGTTTGAATCCCTTTACTAAACATGTTAACGACTCATATCTAAGATCTCCAAAATCGGTTTTCAATGTCTTATATGAATTTTCAAAACCACCTCGGTCAATGTACATCGGAACACTAGTTTGAACCAAGGAACGGGCTATGTTATGGGCTGAAAATTCTAGTGGGACTGAGAAAGCAACAGAAGCCCAACTAAGTTTTCCGCTTGAAAGAAGCCCAACTAAGTTTGTAAACCCTTGTTGTTGGTGCTCGCAAAACCTCGCCAATATAACAACAGCAAAAAGCTTAGCCAATCTGAAGAGCTCTTTAGCTATCCCCACACCCACAACACTCCAAAACCGCAACCCAATCTCTTCGCATTTCGCCCTAAAATGTCACCGGCTCCCGTCGCCGAGCCCGCCACCGCCGCCGCCGCGGAGCCTCAGTCCGAGGAAATTCCGATAACTGACGAATCTACGAAGACCACTACTCAGGTCCCTTTTTGTGCTGTTTTATAGATTTCGTATTCGTGTATTTGTCTCGATTTGTCTTAATCGTTCTAAATTTTTTTTTCCATTTTTCGACAGAACGAGGAAGAGACCGTTGTTGTCGAGGACGTTAAGGACGACAAGGATGAGGACGACGACGATGACGACGACGACGACGACGATGATGAGGACAAGGAAGATGGCGCTCAAGGTGATTTAATCTTTTTTTTTTCTCTTGTTTATTTATTGGGATTTTTTTTTCGATGCTGTTTGTTTGTTGCTTTGATTAGGGTTTGCTGCTATTGTTCTTGTTGTTTACATGGTTCGTTTTCATTTCTGTCGAATCGAACGGATGCTTTTACTTAATTTTTATGAAAAGGTGTAATTTTTGGGTTGCTTGGTTATTTTAATTAGTGAAAGATTTTGGTTTTTGTTGTGTGATAATCTCTAATCTTGGGATTATGGACTTTGATTTTAAACTAGGTTTGACTGCTTAGTCTGGTTTAAACTGGGTTTATTATTCGCTTAAAGGAATGGCTTTTTGTTTGTCCTTGTTGTTTATTTTCCCTGTCTAGTTGTTGTCGCTTTCATGGGTTGGTTTCGAATTGGGTGAACTAGTTGTTGCGTTAATTTGGTCGCTGATGTAGCTGGTTTATGAACTTGGGGTTTCTTTATTTTGGTAATTAAAGTTACTTTTATTTTGTAATGTGAAATGTAAATCTTTCGAGGTCTTTTCCCCCTAATTGCCACTTATGCTTACTTGCTGAAAACAAGCATGTCAAGGATATGTATCAGGAACTTATCTGATGTGTGGAAATTATTATTTTCAGTACCGTTTGCATATGTACAATCACTTTCTTGTTTGCTTTGCAACTTTGCTGTTGCTTTGTGGCGTTTTAGCACTTTGAGTTGCTTGTTGACTTTTTCGATAATATTTCTGTCTGTAATTACGTTCTGTCTGTTTTTCTTCAGTTTATACTGATTGGATGAGGATTTGCAGGAGCAAATGGGAGTTCCAAGCAGAGCAGGAGTGAGAAGAAGAGCCGCAAGGCGATGTTGAAGCTTGGCATGAAACCAGTTACAGGTGTTGGCAGGGTCACCATCAAGAGAACCAAAAATGTAAGCTAATTTTTTATGTTTCATGTAAATAATGAGATTGTCTTGTTTGAGTTATTTCGTTAACGTTGTGTTCTGGTTTATCAGATCCTATTTTTCATCTCAAAGCCTGATGTTTTCAAGAGCCCACATTCTGAGACATATGTCATATTTGGGGAGGCAAAGATAGAGGATTTGAGCTCTCAGTTGCAGACACAGGCTGCCCAGCAGTTCAGGATGCCAGACATTAGTTCTGTGACGGCCAAATCTGAAAACCCTGCGGCAGCTGCTGGACCACCAGCAGACGAAGAAGAGGAGGTGGTTGACGAAACTGGTGTGGAGCCTAGGGATATTGATTTGGTCATGACACAGGCAGGAGTGTCGAGGAACAAGGCCGTCAAGGCTCTTAAGACTAGCGATGGGGACATTGTCAGTGCTATTATGGAGCTCACCACCTAAGTTGCCCTCTTCATTTTCTTTAGCTGTTATATTTTCCTGATTATCAGTTTTCCAAACAGTTGTCATCTAGTTATTGTACTTATATTGTTTCCCATTTATATGGAGGCTAGATTACGCTTTCATTTTTGTTGGACTGAGGACTTTCAGTCAATTAGAGGGTCTGTAGTTTCATTTACTTATTCTTACCTTTTGATTTATTAAGATTAATATTTCATTCTTATCACCATTTCTACCGTAGAGGTTATCTTCTTCGGTTGAAAAAATCATTTTTTCCTTACCGGCATGAAATGATTGATGAAATGATGACAGAAAGAGAACTTTGTTTTCTGTTTGCTTTATGCAAGAAAGAATGCTTGTGTTTCTTAAGCAAGTTAATAACGTATTGGCTTCAGATATTACTTACGGCAGCACAGAAAAATATTCTTATAAATGCCTTTTCGGGTGTTAATCTGTGCTTGCATTTTGACTTGTATATGTCATGGCAGTTTACTCAACATCTATTTAGTATTTGCCCCTTAAAAAGATGGAAGAATTAGGGGGTAGATGGAAAATCTAAGCCTTTGTTCTTTTTACACTCAATCACAATTTAAGTTCTATTTTTAGTGTTTTTTCTCATAAAAATTTAAATTTAACTTTTTTATTACAATTATTATTATTATTTTTTTTTGTCTACATACACAACTCAAGTGTTTTTTTTTTTTTACATACACGACTCAAGTTTTTAATATGAGTTGTGAAACAAACATACCACTAATTATTTTTTCTTTTTCAAATTAGGCAATTACCAGTTTATTTTGATTCTTACTCGTCACGATAGGGAGAGATTTTTTTGGACATTCCTACTCAAAGATTGTTTCAATAACCAAGGTTGTTTCAATAACAGCAAGATAAGACAACCGAAGAATCAGAAAATTCTCCAGGCATGGAAAGATGGTCCTTAATATTTAGTTGTTGATGACCCTGCAATTCGCTCGGATCTCACCAGCACTGCCAGTGAGGACATCCAGTTGACCCATTTTAACCATTGCAGCGGCAAATTTACTCATCCAAAGGATGGGATATTTGGTGTATAGATTCACCTGGTTAGCTGTTGCCGAGGTTGACAGAAAAGTTTGGTCCGATATTAGTTGTTGATGACCCTGCAATTCGCTCGGATCTCACCAGCACTGCCAGTGAGGACATCCAGTTGACCCATCTTAACCATTGCAGCGGCAAATTTACTCATCCAAAGGATGGGATATTTGGCGTATTGATTCACCTGGTTAGCTGTTGCCGAGGTTGACAGAAAAGTTTGGTCCGATGTGAACAAACCTCGGTTCGCTAGGATGTCAACATAGTAGCCAACGTCGCTGATGGCAGGGCTGGAGGGGTTCATCGGAACCACGGTGTTTGCATTGCCTTGTGGACATTGCTGCTTCAGCCGAGATGCATATGTGGGATCCCAACTTGGGTCCTGACTCGATTTTCCATTGAAGTTGTACAACCTGTCACTGAAAGAACTGCAATGGGATCGGCCAATTGTGTGCGCTCCTGCGTTAGACATCCAGCCCAAAACGCAAAACAATTTACATTATAAGCGAGAGAATGAAAGGCAGTATAGTTCAGGGGACTGGTGCAATTTGAATGATTATGACGAGGGAATGTTCTTACCAGAGAGCGTGACCATTTCTTCTTGTGTCAAACCTTTTTTCACGAATAGTTGTGTGAGTTGGTCGACATTGAATGTTGGAGGAGGCAAGTTCGATGTCTCGGAAGATAACGAAATTCTGCCATCTCTTCTTCCCGCGGGAACATCATATATAAGCCCTCCAGTCTGCATATAGACATGTAGACGTCACTAGTACAGTGCAAGCAAAAGACCTCGGAAGTACCTGAAAAATTGTGCCTCTTACAAATTCCGTGCTATCCCTTGCTGCAAAAGCAACTATATCAGCACACGAAACAACGCCTTTGCATACAGCTTCCAGTCTTGCTTTCGCGTTGTCTATGACTTCAAAACCTCTCAAACTCGGGTTATTTGCAGGGGAATCCTTTTCAGCTGTGTTTGAAGGAGTGGAATCGATCAACACCGACGCATCACAACCCTATATTAGCGGAAAGTAGAAACACATACTAGTTATGCTAAAGAAGCTTGAAGCTTAATTACAGTAATGGTTCATGGTCTATATATCTAATCAGTCATTTATTTTAAGATATAAAAATGTTCTTAATTCTAGTACCATATCTGGTAAATGGAGGAACCTTAGAGAATACAATGTGATAGGAAAAACAAAAGAGCAAGTGCTGCTTTCAGTAATAGTACAATCCTTACTCTAACAAAACAATCATGAAAATGCAATCTCACAAGACCAGCAGCCACTCCAGGATCCTTGATGAGCCCTTTCCTAACCTCATCTTTAACAATGTACTCAGCAAAAGGACATGAAAGGCTGTAAAACCCGACTCGAAGCTCCGAATGAACACTTTGACATGACAAAATAACCAACAAGACTGTAGAGAGACAAGTTATATGCATTTGTGGACTCATTTTCTTCACAGATTATGTTCTTGCCTTAATTAGTTAGTGAGTGAGTGAGTGAGAAAGAATACCATGGTTAGTGTATATGTAACATTCAGATTATTAAAATAAACTGAGTGATTGAGTGCCATGTGAGAAGGCACTGGACTGGAATGTCATTGTTACCTTGATACTTTACAAAAAAAAAAAAGGTGAAATTGAGAAAGTAGCAGAAACGACAGCTGGAGTTGGTTTGATAACGACTTAAAAATGATCTCGTTGCAATATATTAAAGGTCATTTACCAGCAATCTACGCGGATTTTGATTAGAAGAAAGGCTAGAAATCAAGCTAAGTTGAATATAGAGCAAGACAATCCAATTGTACGTCCACGAACAAATCCACATGGTAGTTGTTTAAAAGTTAAATCTTTTGAACTACTGTTAATTAGATTGTAATTTGTGATGTTGGATTTTGTGGATACATTGGGGTCTACCCTTGCGTCATTTTCACTCTTGTGAGGAAGCTCTCTGTTTCAGACAAATGTGGTAAACTTCTTCTTCTTCTTTTTTTTATTTTTTTTTTATTTCATTTTTTATTTTTTTTAAGGGAGACAAGTGTGGTTTTCAATCAGAAATGATTTGACTTTTTAAACTTTGTTATCTCTCAACGTCTAATAGCTATACATATACACAATCATTTGACATCATATAATTGCTTTTCATACAAAACACAACGCAAGCAAAATAGTCGCAAGCTAAGCATAACCTAATAATAATTTCAGTCACCTTCAACGTTTAGGAAAAAACCATGAGAGTATCCCTTTTGGGAGCTGTATGCAAATATTATTATCTTCTCATTGGTGGAAGCACACATTATATACAATCCACGGATATCGACTTTTGAGTACGTTGTATGGTAAACAACTTTCATTGTTCCAAGTCCCGTCAAACGTGCTGATAGACTATTAAAGACAGTTTCGACTATCATAGTTATGATTAAACACCGAAGTTCTGAATATATAAACAGGTTCAATTCATATGCACAAGAATACGATAACCATAAAACTTTAAAATGTTGTTCAGTTTAAGGGTGGATGTGAAGCAAATATGACACAGCGTATTGAACATCCAGCCCAGATGTACTTTCCAAGTCCCGGAAGTAGCTTCAACGATTCTGCAATCCAAGCTCCTCTTTCCCTACATGTTCCCACTCTGATGACACCCTATCGAACCAACCTGCAAGCAGTGAGTTCTCGCGCCTGTTGGGCCTGTGAGATTGTGACATTGAATCATAATCAATAAACATCGGAAACTCGCCCCCAGTTAGTTGTCCTTCAGTACTGTCAGCATCGTTCCCTACATGTTCCCACTCTGATGACACCCTATCGAACCAACCTGCAAGCAGTGAGTTCTCGCGCCTGTTGGGCCTGTGAGATTGTGACATTGAATCATAATCAATAAACATCGGAAACTCGCCCCCAGTTAGTTGTCCTTCAGTACTGTCAGCATCGTGATGCTGCAAAGTAGGCTCTGGCTCTACGCATGAACTTCCGACCTCTGATTTAGAGCCAATTGTCGACCCATCGACATTTTCTGCCAACTGTCCTTGTGTAGACAAGGGACTACAATTGTCCCCTCGAGATTTAAGGATATGAAATCTGGCCATAACAGAAGCCTCATAATCATTCGAGGGCTTGTCTGTGCTAGAATTGCTAGAAGCCTGTCTACGGATATCAGGCTTTGAGCTACCAGTTTCTTCATTTGCTTCAGGTAGTATTTTGCCAACCTTGTTGGAATGAGGAGAAACCTTGGGGCTTGATGGTTTATCCTTATCGGCAACAATACCATAATTCGATTTCTTAGCCCGGCACCTCAGAATTTGAAATCTATCCATGACATCATCATCTTCAGCGTTTGTGCTTAAGACAGAAGATTCTTGGCTTTTTGTGGTCGCACAACCCTTAGCCTTAGGTGACAATGTGTTGGCACCATTTAGATCTGGAGAAACCTCAGACCTTGATACTTTGTCCATCTCAGTAGTAATGGTATTTCCATGTGCATCTGAAATAAAAGTTCAATTATAAACAATCATTTATTAGTTGAAAATATTTTTGGTAAGGCAGAAAAAAGAAAAAAAGAGGATTCATGGGTTACATAGAATATTAACCTTTGGATTTAGGCAACTTGGGGTTCTCCATTTCTAATTTCACCCGGTTAAAGCGGGCTTTGCAACTCATGGAGCATAAAGCGGCTTCAGCCTCAAGCCATAGATTCTTATACAAGAGAGCTTGAGGGGATGCTTCCTCCTCGTAGTCGAAGTTATCAGTAAGAACCTTCTTTAGAGCCTACAGAAAAGATGATGAAAGGTAAAGATTTTTAAACCCCTCTCTCTCTCTCTCTCTCTCTCAAGTCTCCCTCTCCCAATCTTCAATGGCAAGAATAGCAATGCAGTATTAATTATCATATCTGAGCAGCATATTTATAAAGTAAAATTAAGGGGGGAAAAAAAAAACTCTAAATCTTTTTCGTACAGGGGACAAAAAAGGTACCTGGATTGCTTTATCTTCATCAACGATGTCTACATCAGCCCTCACAGAGACGGAATCTAACAATTCATCATTTTCTTTACCAGCCACGTAGTACTTGTTTCCCTTGTGAACATTCTGATCGGCAAGCAGATCCAGAATTGGCCCTGCTGTCTTGGTTACTTGGAGCTTGTTCAAAGTGAAACCCTGGAAGAAGTTATTCATGCAATAATAACAACAACAACAACAACGGTAGATTCTACTCGTAAGAGGAAAAAAAAAAAGAACCTACTACTTCATACATGCACCATGAAGCAAACGAACATGGACAGAAATCAGACAACTGAACTATGATGTAGAAAAAACGTGAAAAGAAATATCAAAAGAAGCAAAGCAACTTAGTGACATACTTTGTGATTCTTGTCTCCAAGATAGTCAGAAGTGTATTTTTCAGAAGTTGAGTCTTGTGTAGAAACCGTCTTCTCAGAATTCTTTGATGCGCACACACTAAGATTGTCTATCATACTTTGGATAGTCTCAAGGTCTTTTTGTTTCAGTTGATACGAGCCACTTGTACAATGGAACAACAGCAGTTCTGATAAGTTACGTATTGTACTAACCAGCACCGGCACATCAATTGTTGGACTCGACGGACCTTCATTTGATTTGTTAAGCTTAGTAGAAGCATCTTCTACTGATGAAGATATGATGTTCTCCATAGGAAAAGGCAAACGGGGTGAAACACATTGCAATGCTTCATTGATATTTTCAGATATCAATCCATTTCTTTGGATATTTTGTTCTCCGTTCAGGGAACTTTTTAAGTCAGAACAGCCTGTGGACCTGCTTCCATGTTCATGGATGTCATTAGAATGTTGAATCCCCTTAGTTTCCAAATCACTGCCGATCTTTACAATATCATCTGATTTTCGATCACTAAATGTAGACTTTGCAGCTGGAGATGTGTTCAATGGAAATTCTAAACCATTTTCTGGACTCCCAAATTCATGGCACATCATGTTGTCATTTCGTTTCTGAGAGGAGACTTTATCACCAGTATTGAGTTGGAAGATCTGTTTTGTTTGAACATTTGAATTAGAGAACACTTCTTGCCTTTTCGTTTCTGGAACGGACGCATCAAATGGAGAAGAACGAGTAGCAGGAACTCCTTTCCAGCATGGTGAGTCAACAGCATGGTTATAGTGATCAACATTCTCAGAGGAATCTTCAACAGAATTGATGTTTTCATTTGTATTAAGGTCTAATTTGAAGCCCTCATGAGGTACGTTAGAAGTTTGGGGCCCAGATTTTGGTATCAACACGTGATGCAACGTATCACTACTGATGCATTCTTTATTCAACATCTCTTCATTTTTTGTCACATATGATCCCAAAGAGGCAGGATCATCTATATCTAGATGAATGCTGAGTTTGCTTGAATCGAAAGCAGGCTTGACTCCATCAGCATCGATAAAGCTTGGTGCTTTTTTGCTGCACATATCAGCATCAGTTTTGCAACTTCCTAAATTCACAATTTTAAATGGAGCATTGTTTGATGGTGAAAAACCAGAACCCGCAACTGGTGGCCCAATGACAGGTGTGGGAGAGGACTTCGCACTATCAGTAGCATGCTGTTTCAAATGCTTCTCATTAGAAGCACCATAAGGAATTTGATGGCCAGAACTTGTGCCAATCATAAAGCATGGTGACTCAAGACCGGAATCTGGAAATCCTGAAAGGGATTCCAAGAAAGATCTTGAACAGTCAGCTGGCAGAAAATTCGAAGTTTTCCCCGAGAAGGATTTATCATTGAAATTTTCTGCATTCACAGATCCACCATGCTTGTCTGAGTCCAGATTGTTGATGCCATGAAATGCTTCCTTGCCCCTGTTCAAGCGCATAGCTTCCTCACCTCTGTTCAACCCTTTTGGACTATGAGTTTCTGCATAGCAGTAATGAAGATTCAAATCAGTTTACCGTGCAGAGATTTGGATTCCAAATATCTGAAATCCTAGAATCCTCAAACTTATATATAAAAATGGCACAGCCTATGACATGAATGATAGGAGAACAGCAATGTGAGGCCACTTAATATGGAACTACGTTTTCCTAAGAGGGTGTTGGAACTTTCCAGAGTTGATTTAGGAGTCTAGAAACAATTCAGCATACTCCATGAATTACCAAGAATAATTTTATTTTTATGCTTCTAGTTTCCAAAACTTTTTGCTGGGGTGACGTAACAACGTAACAAGTTAACAATAGATCAGCAGAGGAATAGATTGAATCAAAGAACATAATTAGTAAACTGCAAACAACTATAAAAATCACAGCACAATTACCTTGGTTCATGAAATTCTCATACATGGACGAAACAGGTATATCACTTTCTTTTGAGCAGCAGAAACTTCCATCAAAGAGTCCCTGATTACCCTGCTCCCATTCCGAAAATCCATTCCACAAACCACCCCACTGGGCTGGTTTCTTTGAATCTCCCGATCTTTGAGAGTAATCCTTATTAGAGGACCCGTCCAATGCCGTGACAGCAACATGAGAAGAAGAAGATAACCAATCATAACTAGTCTGATCAGGAACCACCAAGGAACCATCTTTCTGAGTTGGAGGTGACAAAAATGAAAAGTAGTATGGTTTGGCCACACCATCCCCACACTGAGCATAACTAAATGCATCCGCAGAAGCAGAGACAGATGTGCTCAAATGAGGCAAATGGGTATTCAAAGAGGCATAATTATATGGATTATTTGGAGAGGCCACAGAATTGAGCTCCAAGTTAGGATCGGAAAAGAAGTTGGTTTCTGAAGTGGGAGAGCGAGGAGGGAGCCAATTGTGCAGAGAAGAAGAATTATTCAAAGTGCCAGTTCTAGATGATTGTTCAAGCAAATCCACAAGGGGCATGTAACCAGTGTTAGGTGACCGATCGATGGTAAAAGGCGGGGCTGAAGCAGATAGGTTGGAAGACGGTGGTGAGGAATAAGGTCCTCCATTATTACCATAAGACCCAAACCCTATCATTTTCCTCAACTTTGGTTTCTGACAACGAATTAAATTAATTGATCAAAACCCAAAATAAAATTTATCAGAATTAACACTTTAAAGTTATATTAATCAGGCGAAAAACAAGTTTGAGAATTGCAAATAAATATCGATCAAAACACACATTGATAGCATCATTTTTCATCAACTTTGCTTTCTAACAACAAATTAACTAAATTGATCAAACCCCCCCCCCCCCCCCCCCCCCCCCCCCCCCCCCCCCCCCCCCCCCCCCCCCCCCCCCCCCCCCCCCCCAAAAAAAAGCGTCAAAATTAGCGCTTTAAACTGGATAATCAGGCGTAAATTGATGAAGATCCACAACAAAATTCATCGGAATTAGAGCTTCAAAGTGATGATCAGGCGAAAAAAAAAAATTTCAGAGTTGGCCAATAGCTATCAATCAAAAAACGCATTCAGCTCATCATTTTTCCTCAAATTTGGTTTCTAACAACAAATTAAGTAAATTGATCAAAACCCAAAAAAAAAAAATTAATCGGAATTAGAGCTTCAAAGTGATAATCAGGCGTAAAAACAACCGAGTAAATATTGATCAAAGAACACATTCATCGAACAGTGCAATACAAAAAAGAAAAGAGCAAATTTATAGCAGAAAAATGATGATCTTATCATAAATTATATAGAAATAAGATATAAATTGAGAGAACTTCATACCAAGATGTTGAAAATTTGAAGAAGACGATCTTGTGAGAGTTCGGAAGCTGGCAGTGTCTTTTTGCGTATTTCGCAAAGAATGGAAAAGTAATCAGATTATGGAAGGGTCAAAGTCATTATCCGTTTGTTTGGTGTGTTTGATTGGGGAATGGAGAAGAATATAATTAATATTATATTATAATAATTTATATTATAATGTAATTATATCTTATAATATATAATATAATATATTATAATTATATATGTGTATTATAATATATCATATTTAATATTATAATAATATATTGTAATTATATTTGTCATTAATATAATATACAATATAATCGTCATATTGTAATTAATAATAATTATTATAATTATATTTATCATTATAATATAATAAAACATAATATAATATAGTTGTGGTATTGTAATAAATAATTATACTAATAATTGGGATAGTGGTATTTTTTATAAAATTAAATATAATGATTATATATTTTATAAATAATAACATTATATTATATTATATTATATTATGCTATATTATTTTATAGGATATAAATGTGATGTTTTCATATGATAGTTATAATAAAAATTAAAATTTTATTATTTTAAATATATAATATTATAATTATAATAGATACTATATTTTATAATATTATAATTAAGTATTTATATAATTACAATATAAATTTATATTATGATAGATAATATACTATAATTAGAAATGATAATATACTATATTATATATTATAATTATAATATGTAATATTATGTTATTACATTTTTATAATTATACTATATTCTAATAATATAATATAGTATAGTTGTAACATTATAACATAAAAAGTGTTTTGATCTGTTTTGAAAAATTAAAGGACATTTTAAAATAGAATACATAGTTGGGGGTAATTATGAAAATAATACTATTAAAAACTAAGGTAAGCAGAAAAATCCCATGATAATTAAAAAGAAAAAAAAAGTGCCAAACGACAATTGCGTTAAAACAACAAAACTACCTAAAAACAATGTTACAAAAAACTCCCTAAACGAAAAAAAAAACTAAATAACATAAATACCGAAGAGGACCTTCAAAAAAAATACCGAAGAGGCGAAGACGACAAAAAAAATAAATAAATAAAAAGAACCGTCTCATTGAAATTGACAAATGACATCATACCCTAAAAGACCAAAATTGAAAATGAGTCGTAATATATCAGCCATGAACTGGGAAAATATCAACTGATTATGACAAAACCAATATATGGCATGAATTTAAATGGACGACAATGTGAAAACAACGCAAAAATTAAGGAGACGTTTGGTTCATAGATTAGAATCATGATATTATAATTATTTTTGATTTACGTGTATTTTTTATGAGAAAAAATATTGTAACGAACCACGAACTATGATTCGAATCGAAGTACGAATTCCCCATCCAAACAACTCCTAAATACAACACAATCTTTTTAAGAAGACATAAACAAAAAGGTTTGTCAAACGACAAAAGGGTTTTTGCCAAACAACGATAACGTATTAAAGTTAAAACACAGCTATAAGGAGACAAATAAAAAATTGACATCATATGAGCTTAAAGTGGCATTGGGAAAACTTTTTTTTTTTAATTATTGTACAACAACTCTGTTGTAAAACAGTAAACGCAAAGAAAGCCAGCAAGAGCCCTTCAAAAGAAAATTATTAACGAAAAAACAAGAGCCCTTAAAAAAAAAAAAAAAAAAAGCCCAGCAAGAGTAGAAAACGGAAAAATGAAACGAAACAACAAAAACCCTGCATTATTGATCTTACCAAGGATTATCCGGTTTTATTTATTTATTTATTAGCGCTAAATATGTCAAAAGCAGCAGTAAATGTCACCGACGGGAAAATGAAAATCCACAAAACGACATCAATATATGTGCGTGTGTATATATATATATATATTATAATCTTACAAAATAGACGACACTAGTAAAAACGACAAAAAACGACAACTACTCTGGAAACGACAAGTCCTAAACAACAATAACCTTAGAAACAGCAAAAGAAACGACATCAATTTTGAAAAAGGAAATGAGCACGAGAAAACAGAGCAGCAAAAATAAAAAAGAGAATGCGGTTGGATTTGGAAGTTTGAAAACAACAACTAAAAACCGACACACACACACACACAAAAGAAAAGAAAATGAAAGAACGATATCGTACGAAAAACGACATTATACAGTTAAAAACAATTAATATTCCGGAAAACGCGACAATAAATGGGAATTAATTTAAAAACCTCAACAAAGCTGAAGACGAGAAAAAAACAGATAACAAAAAAATTACAGCATCATCAAAATGATTCTATTTTAACCGTAAGGAGGGGAGAAAAGTCTAAAACAGCCATATTTCAAAAATTAGGGAAATAAAAAACGACAGTGAAATTAGAAAACGGCGTAAAATTAACGACAAAAAGAAACTACAGTTGATTGCAGTGACACAGCAAAATAAAATTAACGGACATAAATACCCAAACCAAAATTAAAAGAAGCTCCCTCCAAAAAAAAAAAAAAAAGAAAACAAAAGAAAAAGAAAGACTAAAAGAAGCAAAAAAATGAAAATTGTAGACGAAAATTCAAACCACAGCAATATACATTAGCATATAGTTAAAGTGGATTGTGAACAAAGGAACACTATCAGTTTGCTTATGATATTCTTTTAAGCTTTGTCAATTTAGACTTGGAACTTAAATGGATATAAAAGAATTAGGTACAGAAGCATACTAATTTTCTTCAAATAGAAATATATTAAGTCAATAATTCTACAGTAACTCATTACGTGTTTGAAGTTGAAGAAAAGAAAAAAAATAAGCAAAACACATTTCTTTTTTTACCGACATTCCTTCACACGGCTCCACTAGCAGATTCCTTAAAACTTTTTTTTTTTTTTTTTCCCGTTCTCTTTTCTTAGCTCTGGAGTTTAACTGGTAGCCCAACCGAATAATATGGCCAATGCCTAAAAAGAGTTGAACATACACATATAATCATAATCTGATGCAACAGAATTGGGAGGATAGAGTTTTCGGATAGAGGATGAGATTCTATAGCCCGTTTAGTTCGCTGATTCGAGTTAATATGTGATTTTATGTGAGAGTTTTTTACTGTAGAAAAAAATTAAATGTGACTGTTTCTGAGAGCTTTTTACTATAGTAAAACTCAAATTCTAAACTCAAATCGGTAAAATAAACTGAGCCATAAACATAATACATACAGGAAAAATATCTAAACCGGAGAAAAAACACAACTTTAATAATCAGTATGTCAATGTTTAAATCTAACTATAACAGTAGTTTAATATGGTTATTTATAAGCTCACACACAAAGCAACGATAACAAAATACAAAATAAAACAAACGACAAAAGCATACCTAAATGGATAAACTACTACAAACAACATAGAAATCATAATCTACTATGTATTGCTTTGTATTTTGTGCTTTCCTTATAGACTAATATGGTTTTCCTTTTCCTTGGTACTGCACAAAAATGGTACTTTTCTGAATTTAATTACTTGAAGGGAAAGAAACAAAACTTGGAGAATACAGCAATGAAGAATTAGAGAAGAGGAGGGCTAGCTAGGTAGGTCCCACGTAAGTTGTCATGTTGTCGTTGATGGTGGTGATGGTAATACAGAAAATCTCTCTCACTAATAATTTCCCATCATTTGCCTCATTGACATACATACACTGCATTTTTCTCACTTTCTCTTTCATCTCTTTCTCTCTCTTCTTTCTCGTTTTTTTTTTTTTTTGGATTACGTTCAGATGGACGATACGTCTGAATGTTTCCGTATTATTATTCAAGAGAGAGAGAGAGAGAGAATTGTCTTTCTGCAGCTATCTGTATGCGTATACCTTTTCGTTTATAGAGCTCCTTATACACGTAGTTTTTTGGATTATTTCTATGGCATGGTACTTCTGTGGATACAAAATGTCAAGAAGAGATCTTTATCTTCAGATTAATATATATTATTCCATCGACTTCGAAATTGAATATATATATATATATATAATGTCAAGAAGAGATCTTATCTTCAGATTAATATATATTATACCATCGACTTCGAAATTGAATATATATATATATATATAAGAATGTCATATAGAAAAAATATAGATCTGATCAACTTAAATATTAGGAAAACTGATACATCAGCTGAAAAAGAAAGTTTTCCCTCGGTTGTTATTACAAACAATAACTTATAACAATGAATCCAATCGTAAATATATACGCACAGTTCTTGATGATCTAGTTTCTAAAAGTAAAGAATGAAAGAAGAGGAGTCTTGAGCAGAAAAAATACTATAGATCTGATCAACTTAAATATTAGGAAAACTGATACATCAGCTGAAAAAGAAAGTTTTCCCTCGGTAGTTATTACAAACAATAACTTATAACAATGAATCGAATCGTAAATAAATCGAATCGTAAATATATACGCACAGTTCTTGATGATCTAGTTTCTAAAAGTAAAGAATGAAAGAAGAGGAGTCTTGAGCAGAAAAAATACTAATGGCCCGAGAAGTACGGCCGGAATGAAAAGAAAAACGGAGGCTGCGCGGCGGAGGTAGTAGGCGCTCCGTAGCCCTCGCAAGCGCCGCCGTGTACTCTCCGAGTAGCTCCGCAACGACAGCCACCATAATCATCTTCCTTGCAAATGATGATATAACGTACTAATGTGCTAAGATTGGTGTTATAAAGTGTGGAAGTACTAGTTAAGCCAAAGTTTTTTTGAGTTTTGAGTTTTGAATTTTGAGGAGCTAGCTATATAGGCTGTAGGGTGGTTGGTTTTGGAAATTGGGAATGAGTCCAAATTCATAAGCTAGTGGGATTTATTTACCGACCAATCCATGTTTTGGGGTCGGCCAAATCTAATTGGCGCGTAAATGGTAATCATTAGAGGGTGGATTAACCACGTTTTCTTGCTTTTAAGTTTTAACCAATCCCTTTTAATTTTGTTGCTAGGTAATTAGAACAAATAATCCTCAATCTATTTAGTTGGTGACAATTTAATCCTTATTTTTTCAATTTTAACAAAACAATCCCTAAGCAATTTACACCTTTCTGTTAACAAGGCTTCATTAATTTCGTTGATTCGAGTTTTATTATAGTGAAAAGATCTCACAAACAGTCACATCTAACATTTTTACTACAGTAAAAAACTCTCACATAAAATCACATCTCAACTCGAATCAGCGAACTGAACGGGCCCAACTAAATAGTTGGTGACAATTTAATCCCTATTTTTTCAAAATTACACTTTACCCTCACATGGCTTTCTTCTAATACCCGTAAAAACATCCCATCAGTTGAATTTTGGGGCTGAAATACATTTGGGGCTTATGAAAACTATAACAAAAAACAAAAACAATTACGGACCAAAGAAAACCCCGGAACTTAGAATTAGAGAGGGAGAGAAGAAGAGCCGGCGGCGAGGACGGCACTGCGACGATCTCGCGGCGCAACGGCTATGGCGGAGCTGCGGTGATCTTGCAACTGCTGGGGCTGGGCTGTGACGATCTTGTGATTCTAGATCTAATTTATGTAATTGGTCACCGATCATATTTGTTTGAGATCATGAGATGGTTTTTGATATTGGCATATGCGCAAACAACTTGTCAAGAGGACAGCTTTGAAGAGGTTGAAAGCCATGCCCAACACATTCTAAAGAAATTTGTTTCAAATCCCCCCAAATCATGTCCAAAGTTAACAACTTCTCTAATGCAAAGTGAGCCAATTGTTGAAATTGGAAGAAGAGCAAAAGAATTTTGAAATTGGAATTTTCTTTCTGAAACTATATGTTGTTGTGAATCTTTTCAATTTTATCTTTCTTCTTTCTTAGTCTTTTCATGTGCGGTTTTTGGGGAAATCCAAAATCTTACATTGCCAACTATCAATTTGAAATCATCCGATCAAGTCTGTATGCAGCTTAGGAAAATCAATCTTTTTTGAGAAACTTTTAAAAAGTTATAAAATTGGGAAAAATTGAGGGCTCGTTTAGTTCATTGATTCGAGTTTTGAATTCAAGTTGATATGTGATTTTATGTGAGAATTTTTTATTTTAGTAAAAAAATTAAATGTGACTGTTTCTAAGAGTCTTTTATTTTAACAAAACTCGATATTTAAATTCGAATCGGTAAAATGAACAATACCTGAAACTCACATTTATAATCGGGACAATTTCCATGTAAAAGAAGGACACGGGACACGTGACAGGTCACATGTGTGTTTATGTGGAGAATTTAACAGTTGTCAACAAAAAAAATTGTAAATCGCACCTAATTAAAGAGTTTAGGGACTGTTTTGCTAAAATTAAAAAAATAAAGACCAAATTGTTATCAACTAAATAGGTTAGGGACTATATTATTTGATGTTAACCTTGTGTAATCACGTTTTCAACGGCCTTATCCTTTGCAAATAATGGGAAAGTGGCTTAATGCTGACGTGGCATGACGCTATTGCAGGATATATGGTATAATTTGTTGAAGGGCTCATACATTTTATTCATTTTTTTCTATGGATGTTTTGGCAGCATCAGACCAAGTAATTGCAGTGTGCTCAACTACTGTTTGGGGGCTTGGAAAGTTGCCATGTGATCTGTCTTATGATTGACGATGTATTTTTTTTATTAATATTTTAGTGACTTTCACAAAAAAAAAAAAAAAAAATTTGAGTTATTCTCCCTAACACGCACACAATGAGATTTTCTTGCGAGAATGTTTAGTAGAGAGATTCGTTCCTTAATTCGAATAATGATTTGTGGTTTGTTACAGTATTTTTTCTCACAAAAAATACACATAAATCGAAAATGATTCGAATCACATGATTTAAATCCTCCAACCAAACGTTAATATTCAAGTCGTTTTACGTGTGAGCAAGATGAATACCAACAGGGAAAATTGGGGGAAGCTTCAACTTGGAAATCTCATCTTTTTCCTCGTCTTCAAGCCAAATTTCTTTTGAAAAAAAAAAAAATGAAAAGGCAAATCCTCATTTATCCTTGTCTTACAAGAGTTGATTTGGGGCAGTATTCGTTGCTTATGGATATAGAAGACCATGGCCTCCAAAAGAATCCAATGAGCTTCCAACGTCAAATCCTACCTAACTATTTTGGCCAAAACATGTGAACAAGTTTCCATACAGTGAGCTATATATATATATATATATAAACTTCTTTAATCTCTTATTAATGTTCCATATATGCCTTAGAATTTTTGAAGGGGACATTCAAAGAACGTGGAGGTTAATGACTTTGATTATATCTTTTACCAAAACAAATGTTAACGGAAGAGAATCTGAAAGACGCTTCACCAAATATTATTATTGCCTTTTGAAATTAAACAAAGTCCCCAAGGAGCCGAAAAATATATATATTTACAAACTAAGAAATAGATCATCCGATATCAATGTATTTTGCCAAATTTACAAACTAAGACAAATTTTGCCAAAATTTTCCTCTTTTTCTTCTAATTTTTGACATTAATGTGCTTGATCAGAGGGAATGGGATCTAGTGAAGGCCTTCTTCATTGCTTTCCAGGTAAACGACCGAAACTTAGTGAGAGCCAAGGAAGGCTTGGAATTGGAAATGGAATAGTTTTTTGGATTAGGAGGAGATGATATTATTGGTGATGGTGATTGTAGTGGTTCTCCCAATGCAATGTTATCTTGAGGGTTCCAAAATCTTGCTTCTTTTCTCTTGCTCCTCATAGAATCTAGAACATCATATTTGTTACATATTCCCCACACCGTTACTTTCTGTTGATTATAATCCACGTTTACCGAGTATATTCCTGTCATTCAACATAAAGACCAACATTATTCACCCTTTTTTGGAAAAAAAAAAAAAAAAAAAAAAAAAAAAAACCCCTTTTTTGGAAAAAAAAAAAAAAAAAAAAGAGTATAATTTGGCTTGTACGTAATATTGGGTCATTTGTTACATTTCCTGCTTCTTCTATCGAAGTTTGCTACTTCACGCAATAAATACATAAAAAATAAAGGGAAATAATAGAAAATATGCTAATATGAAAAGCTTAAAAAAGTATATAGATTAATTTTTAGTTATAAAAATTAATAGGTCATAATTTATCAAGTTATGGTTCATAACCAGATAAGTTATGAACAAACTTATCAAGTTATGATTCATAGTCAGACAAGTTATGGACAAAAATCTTGATTTATGGACAATAACTTATCAAGTTATGGTTCATAACCAAACAAGTTATGGTTCATAACCAAATAAGTTATGGACGAAAACAGTAATTTAACTTATTTATTAACTTATGTAAACTATTGACTTATTAATTTTAATTCATCTCAAGTTTTAACTTATTTTCCTCTTTCTCTCAAAAATAAATAAAAACAATAAAAAATGTAAAAACTCTTATCTAAAAATGCTTTTTTTTTTTTTTTTGGTAACAATTGCTATCAAGCGCATCATTCTTTCAAGACTTATTTGACGGCCCCATCCTTTTCATATTTTGGGCCTAGGCCTTATCAATATAAACATCATAGCAAAAAATAATAAAAACATAAAAATAAGGGGGGAAAATGAAGCTTTAACAGTAGGGGAACTATATATATCTCTGGCTTAATTAAATATTAAAACAAAGGAGAAAAAGGAAAAATAAATAAAGGGGGAGAGCCATAGGAGGTTGAAGAACATCAACAATAGAAACAAGAAAAAATCATGAAACTTAAAAAATTTACATCGATATTAATTAAGTTTTCAACTATAAACATGACTAATTAAGTAGGAGTGCCTATATACATATATATATATATATGTCTGTATATAATACCTTTGAGATGAGAAAGAGTCTTCTTCACTTTCTTCTCACATCCATAAGAATAAAGAGGCACCATCATCTCCACAAACTGCGCCTCCACATTATTTCTACAAGCTGGAACTATTTGCAGATTGGCCATAATTAATCCTTAACTAATTTGCTTCCAAAATCTTTGCAAGTTCTTTCTTATCCCGTCCTTCAACTATTTTTTGTTATTTCTGCTTGTCATTGCATTGGATTTGCGTGGCTTTATGTAGATCCTTTGTTACTGAGGCTAGCTTTTGTCATTGGTATACTTTATTTCCCCCCTTTTTTTTCCCTTTGTCTAATTTAACCCACACTTTAATTCTTGATGATGTTGTTTTTGCCTTTATCGTTTCATAAACGGTCGCTCGAGTCAATCAAATCGCGAAAGGATTATGCTCTAATTAATTAAAAATAGTTTGATTAAGTACTAAAATGCTGCTTTGGAAAGAAATGAGGTTGTGACTTGGCTAGGTGCAAAGCTGTGTCAGCAGTACTTCTTTGTTTGGATAACCAAAAGGGCTTTGTTTTGAAACACTTTTCATGTGAGTTGAATTTGTAGATTATTATTTTGGCTCCCATGTGGGTTGTTTTTTTTTTTTTCCCCCTCTTTTATTAAAGAAGTTGCCTTTAAGACATTGGAACTTGGGGAAACTTAAGGTCAGTATTTTAGAATTAAAGCCTCATATAATATCATGATGTTTCCTATAATGATGTAAAATTATTAAAGTTTGTTTATTATATATGCTCTTAATTAAGTACTCAAAAGCACCATCTCATTGGTGAAATCAACATGCACATGCATGCAATTCTTTCCTTACCTATGTATGCAAACGACGAGACCATCTACTTTCTATCTTTTGGATTTTATTTTCTGTTACAAAGAATATGGATCATATAGTTTGGTTTTCTAGTCTCTAGAATCATCTTTGTCCATTAGAAACATAATTATAACTTCATCCAACACGCAAACCGGCAATGGCATATTGTTATAACTAGCTATGATGGAGAACCAAAATATAAGTGGACGTTTGGTTCATAGATTCAGAAATCATTCTCATTTTACGTGTGTTTTTTATGAGAGAAAAACACTGTAGAAAATCATGAATCATGATTTAGAATCAGACACGAATATATGAAACAAATGTCCATCCCACACAATTATAATTATAAAGTACTGTCATATATTAACTTATAAGAGTATAGAATGGTGTACTAAGTAATCTTAAAGAGATAAGAAATTACTCGCTTTATCTCTCAGTCTCAACTAAATGATATTCTCTTTTTCTTTTTATTCAATAAAGGGAGTTATTATATACCTCTTTTTTCCTTGCATTGAGGTGGCCAAAATTAAAAGTTAGCCGTGCTTGCTTTATTTGTGTTAAAGAAAAAGTTGATACGTACATCCATCTCCTTTCTCTGCAATCTTCAATTTTCACACCATATGGATTTCAACTTTTTTGACGTCTTATTATCATAATATCCTTACAGATTTAGTATGATTAGTTCATCTTTAATCATGTAACTTCCATCGCTTTCTTTCAATCTCAAAATTCTTGACCATTATTTGCCTTTGATTAGTTACCTCATATTGTCTTCCACTAATTAGCTAATTGTTTGTTTTGGAGCGTGAGACAAAAAGACAAGTGAAGATGGCATATCGCCGGACCCTGCCAAATTTACATATTGAAAAAAAAAAAAATTTGATGTCGTTTTCTAGGCCTATGATCAGATGACTCAGATCTCAACTATGGAGTGGGACCCTCCTTGCATGTGAAACCCACACCTCTGATCTCTCCTCCTGGGAATCTCAACTGGCCCACCTACGTCAGACATTATAATTAATCTTGTGCTTCTACATGTGACATGCACAAAACATAGAACAGAAGCTTTGGATTATAATTGAGGAGGAATTTGAGGGTAGGAACTGAAAAATAAATTATCGGTGTCCGGTAGATTAGGTTATTGTTTTTCGTTCGTTAAATCTGTATTAAATTTTGTCTCTTCAGTATATATTTTTTATATTGATGTGATTTTAATTAGATTTAGTAATAAAAAAATCTACAGTATCAATATGACAACATTCTACCGCAAAAGGACCTTTTTTCTTGCTGGTTTTCTTAAGTGGTTGATTTTTCCCTCACGTTTATGTTTGAAATATTGTCCCACATTATTCTGTGGACAAATGCTCAAATCATGTTCATATCACAAAGAGTACAACGAAATCATGTTACATGCTGGTATGTATCGTAATTATCTTGCTAAGCAGTATGCCATATTGGTCTCAGTTGGTTTTATATCAGATATTATTTGTATTTATTTTTTCAAATTCTTAATGTCATATTGACTGTGATCCGAGAGCTTAATAATAATATTTTTGCATATTCTTTTTCATAGTCTTATTTTCCAAAAGATGAGATACGACTGCAAAATGTAATTTAGATAAAAGTTTTTGCTTTTTTAAATTCAAAAGATGACGGAAAAGAGTTGCAGGCCAGCACTTTCAGATACGACTGCAAAATGTAATTTAGATAAAAGTTTTTGCTTTTTTAAATTTTTTTAAAAAAAAGTACCTGAAGAGAGGTGAGAAAAAGAAATTTCACTGAGACGCTTTAGCCACGACTCGGCGGATATAATTAGTACCTTTTTATCTATCTATTTTTGACTATATGACCACCACCGCCTATGGATTAGGTTGATTGTAATGTCGTAATCATCATCACCGCCATGAGCGATCATGATGATCATGATCAGGAATATTTGATCCAAAACCGTATACCTACAGCAGAAAGTAACTATGAAATCAGCTGAAAAGTTGGTGATTCAGATTGCTTCAGTTCAGCTTTTAGCAATTGGATGTACATGATATATTGCTAAGGCCTGAGAAGCATTTAAATTAGGCTAGATATACATTAGAGTCATATATATATATATATATATATGATAAATACTAATACCTCGTTCATTTTACTGATTTAAATTTAAAATTTAAGTTTTATTAAAGTAAAAAATTCTCAAAAATAGTCACATCTAACTTTTTTACTACAGTAAAAAACTCTCACATAAAGTCACATTTCAACTCGAATTAAAAATTTAAATTAACGAACTAAACGAGCTCTAATTTATTCCTGATTCGAATTAAAAACTCAAATTAACGAATTAAACGGGCAATTTATTCCTGGTTCGTACATGTCAATATTGTTGGAGCGAAACTTTCTTGCTATGCAATGTTCCCAAAATAAGTATTCATAAATCGTAACTACATTGCAATACATGAAATTAATTTGGAGGTATTTATAATATCTGGATTTTGCAAATTGGTCGTGATAAGAACGATAGTATGAGACACCAACAAAATACTATAAGTGTATAGAGCGTAAACCTCACTGTTGCCCTCAATCATTATATATATATATATATAGATATATATATATATATATTAATATATATTAATTGGTATACGAGATTTGAATAGATATTTCTGATATTATTTTATATATTAGTTGGTACGTAAAAATTTAGATTTAAATGTGTGTCCTTAATATTATTCTATATATATATATATATATAACACTAATTTCAGGCGTATAGATCTAGTTAATAGGTGATTTGCAGATATTCCGTAATGGAATTAAAGAATTAAAACAGCATGAATACTTTGACAAAGAAAGAGAAAGCTTCATGTCATATATATTAAATTATTGCCCTTTATTTTCTAATGTATAGATCAAATGAATAATCATGTATGGTTAGAAATACTATTTAGTATATTATATCCGTGTAACAACAGTTCCATTTTTTTGACACATGATATATATTCTATGCAGTAGACCAACTGTCTTATAACATTCTGTTAGATCCGTTTTGTAATTATTTTACTAAGCTAAATTAATAAATTATGAAAGCAATAAATAAATAGGCACAGAAAATTAATATTGCGGTTCAATAATTATCTACATTTACGGGGCCACACCCAGATATTGAATCATCTACTAATTCTCAATGATTACAAATATCAATCGAACTTAGAAAAATAAAGACTGCGAGCACTACTCGTCTTCAAAATTGCACGGCGAAATCCTTTCATTTGGCACAAGTCGCTCTCTTCCGAAAACTTCAAATTCTTCCCCCGAAGAACTATAAACTGTTAAACTCTCTTTAACAATGTAAACGTCTTCTTCCGAAGATTACTACTTCTTCTCCTAAAGAATGATAATGAGAACTTCTTAAAATATTATGCCTGAAATTTAGGAAAGCCCACTTGAATGAATAGCCTGGAGTTGTATTTACGGAAATAGTAGAAAATATGCCAATATGAAAAGCTTAAGAAAGTATATAGGTCAATTTTTAGTTATAGAAATTAATAGGCCATAACTTATCAAGTTATGGTTCATAACCAGATAAGTTATGGACAAACTTGTCAAGTTATGGTTTATAACCAGACAAGTTATGGACAAAAACTATGAATTATGGACAATAACTTGTCAAGTTATGGTTTATAACCACACAAGTTATAGACGAAAATAATAATTTAGCCTATTTATTAACTTATGTAAACTATTGGCCTATTAATTTTAATTCATCTCAAGTCTTGGCCTATTTCCCTCTTTCTCCCTTGTATTTATAATCGTGTAGGTAAATTAATTGAAAAGCCCAACACATGAATATTTAAGTCCGAAATATATTAAAGACCCAACGGCCAACACATTATGATAATTTTAAGGGAGAAAGAGGGAAATAGGCCAAGACTTGAGATGAATTAAAATTAATAGGCCAATAGTTTACATAAGTTAATAAATAGGCCAAATTATTATTTTTGTCCATAACTTGTCTGGCTATGGACCATAACTTGACAAGTTTGTCCATAACTTATCTGGTTATGAACCATAACTTGACAAGTTATGGCCTATTAATTTCTATAACTAAAAATTGACTTATATATTTTCTTAAGCTTTTCATATTGGCATATTTTCTACTATTTTCGTAATTTTAAATGGGGATAAAGAGTGCAATTACGGGAGTTTGAACTCAGGACCTCCCGCTCTGATACCATGTTAGTTTACCAATCCATTCCAACAACTTAAACTATTAGGAGGTGGGCCAACAATAATTTTATACTTTAACACTATTAGCATGTTTACTTACCAGGATTGAAGAATGAGAGTGGGGAATGAGAGTCAATCTCATGTTTACTTGCTCTTTTTTATCCTGAAATGAGAGTGAGATTGGTGGGTCCCACTCAAATTTGGGATTGGCATTCCTATGCCCCCCCTTGGGATTGAGACTCTCATTCCTAATATTAATATCAATTTACTATTATACCTTTATTTTTTTAAATTTTATTTATTTTATTTAAAATTTTTTAAAATTTATTTTTATATTTTAAATAGTTGTACAATTTATATTTATTATTTTAGTACTTAATTATTACACTAAATATTTTAATTATGATTAATTTTAATATAATAAGTACACAATATATTTTTAAAATTGAAAATATCAAATTGATTTAAAGGGTATATTAATACTTTTACACTTTTTTATTCCGATTCTGGGTGTAAGTAAACGTATGAATGAGATTTGGAATGACTTCAATTCCGAATCTTATTACTAAGTAAACAGCTTATTCTGACTCCGATTCCTCACTCTGAATCCTACCCACTCTGAATCCTGCCCACTCCAATTCATGTTCATTCCGATTACGCGTAAGTAAACATGCCATATATGCTTTATCCAATCTCACATTAGGCATGTAGATATACTTCAGTATATTCTCCACGGTAGAAATCACATTACCTGGTCTTTGCAGCGCCTAAGGCCGAATACTACTTGAACTTGAATTTTGAGTCCAAGTCAAAATAAGATAATCTTGGTTATATCTTCTTCCAATCAAATCCACTTTCTTCAATTTCAATTTCAAATCCGGATGTTATCTTGTTTAAACCAACTTGAATTTCAAACTTCTCTTATTCAGGATTTGGCTTGCAATTGATGAATTTTATCTGCAGTCTAGGCTCTTTTTTTTTTGAATATTTAATATTATTAAATTCCCCAATCGTATGACTCAAAATTAAGAAACAAAAGGAATATTAAGAACATTAGTAATAATAAAATACAGATATCATGTTCATCTATATGTTTTTAATATACAAGGCACCACATATAATAGTATACATAGGATACAGAATGATTTATATTATTAATCAATTAATGGAGGAGAATTTGAATCTAAATTAATAAACCACTTCCACCAAACTCTTTTTGAAAAAAAAAAAAAAAAAACTCTTCACGAGTGGTGGTAGTATTATCAATTTAAAACATTTTACACCATCTAATAACATTAACATCTTTGTTATTATGAACTTTCAAATCTTATTTTGTGATATTATACATGCATGATATACAATTATTATGAAATGCAACATGCATTTGGATTCTCGTCACTGAAGAGCTGAGGAGGTGGGATTCTCTCAATCACATAGAGAGGCTGGGAATAGTACATCATTCTCTTCATGTTTTCCTCGTGATCCATAGGAATTCCATTTTCTAGTCCTCCTAATAATTCCTTCTTAATTCCCTCTTGATCTTTGTTCTCCTTATTTTCCTCACTCTTCTCTTCCTTGTTTTGATCACCACTATTTCCCTCTTCTTCTTTCTTTGCAGCTTCTTCTGCAGGTGGCTTTTCATCTTCTTTCTTCTCTTCTGCTTTTGCCACTTCTGCAGGCTTCTGATCATCACCTTCCTTGGTCTCTTCTTTCTTCTCGGGCTCCGGTTCGGGTTGCGGCACGATTCTTGCTTGCTTTCTTGTTCGTCTGTAAACATAATCTACTAGCTTGTTTGCGTCCATTGTTCCTGTTACAATGACTTTCCCACTACTGAGCTCAGTTGCAGCCGTTTGGACTCCTGTAATAATCAGCATAATATGTAAGTGGTGTTCTAATATCTTAACTATATAGCTAAGTGACATATCCAAAAAAGAAAAAAAAATACCATAGCTAAATGCCCAAGTTTATAATGTCAACCTAACATTTTTTTGTTTTACTAAAATGAAATCAGGTGTGAAATTACTGTTATTTTAGACTCGTAATCAAGCTGACCTACACTTTCATATGGTCTATCTAAATTTATCATTTTGATTGATATGGTAAAAGTGAACTACATATATATCTTACAGTGAGGTATCATGGACTAGTAGTACTCTTTTTCCTAGTCAGAAATTGCCCATATGCTGATAATTTGAGCAAGGCTTATCTGTTAAGGAGCATCATTTCAGGACAATTATTTTGTTATGTTTAGCTACATAATGAAGCAGGATGTTGATTTGAGACTTGAATGGTGGTGAAATATTAGTCCCAAGTCAATAATAGCCTTTGTCTGAATGCCACGTCATATGGGGCCCATCCATCTGGTGGTTACTAGAAAAAGCAAGGTATGAGCCAAGATCTCTTTCTAGGATTCCCTTGCCTCCAACTATTTAGATCCCAAAATAAATAAATAAATTATGAGGTTATTCCTGACTTTAACGTTTGGTGCAATAAAGAGTACACCTAACTGCTACTCTCCACACTTGGCATAACATGATAAGAAGTTGCAGAATATATATATATATATATATGTATGTATATATATGTACTAATTTAGAGAATCTAACCATTAAAAAAAAAATAGTAGTGCTTTAAATCAGATATAAGATAATAGTTAGAGTAGTGAAGTTTGTTAAGTACCTCTCATTTTGAGTATCTTGCTCTTAAGTTGCTCAGCACAGGCCTCACAATGCATGTTCACACTGAGTTCAACTGTAACTGGTCCACTAACCTGGTGCAACAAAAAACCAAACACATTTATTCTACACACTTAATTAATCAAGAAAATGATATTAATTTCTTATTTCATTTTTTTTTAGATTTTAAAATTAATCATGTTCTGCATGGGACTTATTTACCTGTGAAGTGACAACTTCTGGAATAGGTTCACCCTCAGCTGCTGGTAATGGGGATAAGACTTTTGCTCTTCTTCTGGTCTTCTTCATGATTTTATTGCAGATTGCTTGAGGCTCAACTATTCCCTTTATGGTCACCTCATTTTTAGCCATATCTATAGCAACCCCCTCAACTCCTGGCAAATGTTAATCATGTCAAACAAATGTGCATATATATATATATATATATATTTATTTATGTGTGTGTGTGTGTGTGTGTGTGTGTGTGTATATATATATATGTAAATTAAGGAAGGAGGGAGAGAAGTGAGAGAGACCTCTAATTTTCATGATGGACCTCTCAATCTTCTTGGCACATCCAACACAATGCAAGTCCACAAACAACACAAAAGGAGATGGTGGTTTCGGCTCTTCCTTCTTCTCCTCCTCTTCTTTCTTCTCCTCAACTTTCTCTTCCTTCTTCTCCTCTGGTTTAGTCTCTGCCTTGGCTTGTTCCTGTCCATTGTATATTAAACATTCACACAATCAATATTAAGCATTAATTCAAACAAGCCAAAAATAATCATTAACCATTCAAGTCATGTTTCTGAATCACTCACTTGCTTAGCTTCTTCTCCCATTTTTGTCTTTCACCAAAGGATGAATGTACTATGTAGATTCTAATAAGTTTCTCAAATTTGATTTGACAATGTATGAGAAAGAGTTAATAGAGAGAGAGAGGACTAAGAAGAGAAGAGAGAATGGTTTTTATATAAATGGATGGACGGTGGGGTTATTCGCATATAAAGGAAAGCTGCGTGATTCCTGAGCACATGCAGTGCCACTAAGCATGCAAAAGAACCGTCTTCTAATTTAATATTTCTTTTTTGGAACTTTTTTTTTTTTTTTTTTTTTTTTTTTTTCAATTTCCAAAGGCTGATCAAACCCAAGTATTGGAAAGTAAGGAAGAGGGAGAAAGGAGTGGAGTTGGGGGTGGCAGATTTATAGAGGGGAAAAGGGAGGTGAATTGCTAAGGCCAAGATAAAAGTTAGTGGATTATTTCTTTCATGACAAGTTGATGATGTGTCACACATTTGGTAGATCCTCTATGGACAACCTGGCCATACCTTAGTTCTAATAATTTTAATGGAATTGTATTAAGTCCGGCATATCCTAACCAATCAAATACGTATAATTTTTTTGTGTGTAACATCCTTCGTATTTGTGTATAACATTCAGTTTATTTTGGGATAACATTTAAATAAATATAGTCCAACACATATAACATTAAATGTTATACTTAAATAAATTAAGTGTTACACGTACATACGAACGAGTCAAAGTACTGTACAGATACCGAACTTAAGACTATGCCTAATTTTATATACTAGTCATAATGTTTGTGTTATGTAAAAAGAGAACATCCTATCAGATATAAAAATGTACAGTTAGATAAAAACCAACCGTAATTGCAATTATACATCCTAATAGGAATATGTTGTGGTTGTCATATATAAATCACATGCGACAATGCGCAAATTAAGATGATCAATGAATTCAAGTGTGTGATTTTTGTTTGGTGTTTTATTTATTTATTTATTTATTGTAGGTTTTTACAGTACTTTTATATGGACCCCTGATAATTAATTTTTCTGTTTGGTGTTTTATTTATTTATTTATTTATTGTAGGTTTTTACAGTACTTTTATATGGACCCCTGATAATTAATTTTTCTTTAGTGGTCCTAAGTTATCCATTGGAAGCTTTTACGCTGTTGATGATAGGGGTAGCAATTTGGAAAAGCTCAGAATCTTGAGTTATATATAGTGGAGTTATTCTTAATAGCAAAAGAATTAAAAAAAAAAAAGGGGGATTCAGAATTTTACAAGAACTAAAAGACAGATCTATTACTTCATATATTAGATCTATTACTTCATTTTTAAACCATAAAAAGCATTGAGATTTAGATCAACAAGTTTATGAACATCTACAAAAATCTCAACTAAATAGACTACATATAGAATGTTGGAAAATCTATCCGTTGTCACTGCCAAATGTCAACAAACACAACACTGTTCGTTACAACAATTATTCCAAGTGAATACTGCAGAAGTTTTTGCAATGTGTGCACTAATACATAGCATTTATAACCCCATAAACATATATATGTATGTATGTATATATATATTTCTGAATGTAGAGTTTTTATAGTTAATGTGTTGTGAAATTATTTGGCTTACTTGTTAGTTAAGCTACTAATTTATAGTTGTAGATCCCTGAGTACAAACCTTAAATTAAACAAACTTCTGATATAGTATGACTAAAACATGGATATAATAAATCAAAATTAATATCTACAAATTACAAAACAATTAATTACAAGAGCCCTCGTCAAAATGATAAGAAATTGTCATGTTCCGAAACAAACCACTCAGACAAGTACATACTTTCCCCACAAGTAAAAAAAATCGCTAAGAAAAGAACTTCCCCCATTTCCATAACAAAGTTTTGGGATGGATGAAACGTGGGGATGGAGAAAATGTATTAAGTTTTTGCGTGTAAAGATCCACACATTAGAAAGGATACTCACATGGGTTGCTGCCCCATATCACAAAGCTTAATCACCTTTCCTTTTTTTTTTTTTTTTTTTGCCCTATTTCTCATTACTTTTCTCTTGCTGTATTTTTGGAGTATAACAAAACTCTCATTGGGGTTTGTCAATGATCCATCTTTTTTTTGTTTCCTCTATGCTCCAAGGAAGTGAAAGGAAAGAAAGGATTTTTCCTTAAAATGGTACTTCATGACCACGTTGGCCAATTTACAGGTCCATTTGGTACACATCTTCCATCAATTCAAAGGCCAACAATACAACTTTTGAAAGAAAAAAAAAATAAAAACTGAAAAAAGGATTCCTCTTAGTCAGGTTTCCTTCCTTTCCCAAGTTTTGATGCAAAAAAACTTTGAAGAGAAAAGATTTATCCTTTTGTGCAAATGTGGAAAGAGGAGGCAAAAGGCCCAATTTACTAAGTTGTAACACGTGAGAGTGAGTCAGCAAGGGGACACTGACAGAATTAGTCCCCAATTGAAAGAAATCTTTTGGTAAATGATCTCAATTTTCCACCACCACTAAATTCATTTTATTTCTGTTAGGCAAAACAATTTTCACCAACCAACATAATTTCTCCACTTGATGCAAGGTTAGATCAAAGTCCGGCCAAAAAGAAGGCACACAAAAGAGAATATGGGTTGACTTCTTAATCATCCATCTTTCTCTCTCTTTTTCGTTTCCCACTAATCAAAAGAGGATTAAGGATGATTTATATAGGTGAAGATTACTTGTAATTCAAAAGGGTATGCTTAATTAGACTTGTTAAGAGATTCTAATCAAAGAATGTGTTGTCCCTACTATTGTTAGGTGGGCGGTTTGAAGAATCTAGATGGTTGTGAAATAGGCTTAGTTAATAAAGTACTCAAACTCAACCACCCAATACTTTAGCCTTTTTTTCTCCTTAGTTAGAACTACTATTTATAATCTCATAAAGAAGAGTTTTGGGACACTTTGCTTGGTCTAATTGGTTTTTGGTGTTTCATCGTCTGAAGGGTCTTACTCTAATTGAGCTGATCAAGGACACGTGGCTTCCTCTCATTGGTTGTGGTGTTTGGTTGACCAAAGGATCTTGCTTTTAGAGTTTTGGTTAATCAGCTAATGAAGAAATGGCAGCTAATATATACATTCTATGAAGCATAGGTCAGAAATATGTGACACATATCTGGTCTATACGGTTCACCTAAAAAGCAAAGGACATGATTATGCTAAAACTATCATTCCAAGATACAGAACGTTTAATGTGTTAGCTATAGTTTAACACCAATATTGGAGTTTCAACTTTCAAGATTTCATCACCAAAAAAAGAAAAATTTTTATGATATTATTCTATGCAAGATCCTAGCGTTAATTGTATGACAATGGATCTTGAATGCTCTGATTCTCCAGGAAAATAGTTTTTTTTTTTTTCCTTTTTTAATGTGGGGAACCTCCATAATTGGGCTATAAGATCTTCTGAAATCTATTTTTTTTTTTTAATAGTGAAAGTTTAAATGATTGTTATATTATTATGTTTCAATACAGAAGGATTTTGCAGACAGGAATACAATCAATTCTTGTTCATGATCTTTTATTAAGGTATTGGCATTAAAGAATCAAAAGGAATGTGGAGAGCACATGAGAATACGAATTATTATTAGAATTTAACTTTCTGTTGCCCTGCCCTCTATATTAAAAACACGAAAAATAATTTAAAAAAAAATCCTTGAAACTGCTAAATGTGCAATTAAAAGATAATAATAATAAGAAGAAGAAAGTTCTGATATATGGTAGGTGTCAATTGAAGTCCCTTTAGTAGATAAGTTTGGGTCCATTTTGCTCTAGATTTGAGATTTCATGTTGTTGCCAATGATCTATTGATCTTACTTTTTTTTTTTTAAATAGAGAAATTTGATTTAATAATTATATAAATGTAGATTATAAACATGGTCGTAATTGGTCACCAAATATAAGAATATTCGATTATTTTACTTTGTGAAATCGTTCTTTCCCATTCAAAACTTGACTGAGATGAAACTCCACCGAGATTGTGGAGTATGGCCATTGGATCTAACACATCCACTTTAAAGAAAATACATGGTACACAGCAGAAAACAGTAAGTGAAAGATCTCAACACATATGACACTAATTGACAGAAAGAAAAGGGAATGGACAGTGGAACATGTCGTTTGTTCTTGGCCAACTGCTTCAACAGAAGAAATAGCATGCTTGGTGTGTGCTGAAAGAAACCTTTAGGAATTTTTGGGCCATTGCAATGCCTTTTATCTTCTTTGGTTGAGCATGATATTTTTTTGGTTTTTAGCGACAGATGTTCTTCATGGTCAATGCAAATATATTTGATTGGTCCACACAAGTCTCTCTCTCTCTCTCTCTATATATATAATAGAATTGAGAGTGGTAGGATTTTAGTTGGCAATTTTTAACAACAGTTTTTTTAGGAAAATTTAAAAACAGATTTGAGAAAATGATGACGTGTTAGAGCAAGTTTATCTGATTAAAGTATTTAAATTTTAAGATGAAAAGATGAGTTCTAGAGAAGATAAGTTACTAAAAAGATAAAAATAAGGAGTTAAAGTTTTAAAGAAGATTTGATGAGATAATCCTAGTTTAAATTGAATTGAATTAAAATTCAATTAAAAAATAAGATTTGGCCTCAGCAAGATAAAAGTTTCAGGTTGTGTGTTTTTTTTGTAAAAAATAACATGCAGAAGACGTGTGTGAAGACAGAGCAGAGATCATCATAGCAAAATTATTGAGTTCGGATTTTAAATTCAAGATCAAATAATACTGCAACAAGTCGTAGAACAAATTGCGCGACATTTTGAATTTTGAGTAAGCGTGAAGATAATTATGAAAATAATTTAAATTTGACTTGATTGTGCCAACGTGAAGATAAGGAATAGAAGTTCTATAAATAAAACTCAAGACCATTCATTCTGTGGGCTTCCTTTGTTTCACACATAATGTTTTGAGAAATTCCCATTATCATTCTTCGGAGGAAGACATTTACAGTGTTGAGGGGAGTTCAACTATTTATCGTTCTTTGGGAGAAGAATTTCAAGCTTTTGGGAAAGAGCGACCTGTCAAACAAAGGGATTCCGCCATGCAGTTTTGAAGATGAGTGGTGCTCGCTGAATCATGCCATCTAGTTGATTCTATACGGTGTCAACAAATTTAAAGAGGGAGTCTTTATTTGTATAAGTCCAATCAGTGTTTGTAATCGTTGACAATTAGTAGATTATTCAATGTCTGAGCGTAGCCCTGTGAATGTAGATGGTTACCAAACCGCGATACTAATTCTGAGTGCCTATTTATTTACTGTTTTCAGAAATTTATTTAGTTGGATTTTAATTATATCCAGTAAATTGCCAAAAACGGATCTAATAGAGATGATTAAAATCATCATTATAGGGCCTAGTGGGTGGCATGTAAGGAATAAGCCAACAATGAGAGTTTGGTGACTTGGTGCAATGCATGTAAGGGCACATACCTAGTGACATGGGTCTCCTTTGTTCTTATATCTTTATTAACTTTTACCAGAATCTGATCTATAGTTCACTGTATTGTGTAAAAAGTCCACAATATTATGTATGTATGTATGTATACATATTGATTGATATATATTTTGCAGTGAAGGAAAAAAGGGATTATGGTGATTTTCTGTTTGGTTGGTACTAAAGAAAGAGAAATGTTTCATCGAATTCAGTACAATTTTAAAAATGTAACATGTTGCCGTCTTACTATGGCATATTGCTTTGAAAGTTTGCAATCCTTTGCAGTACAATACGAGGACAAGCTGTTGGTCGTTTTTCGTCCTAAGACAATATGTCATTTGAAATTGAAAGTTCTGTCGAAACAAACGTTTCCGGGAAAAATTTTCCGGCAATTTAGTTTAAAAGGGCGTCATCATTGCTGTTTAACGTTTCATTGCCGTTTAAGTTGAAATGGGAAATCCTTTTAATTGTGTAGAATTTTGTCGTTCGTGATTACCACAACTGCATATCGTCTCTAAACATTATGATGCCGTTTGATTTACAAAAACGACATATCGTTAGTTTCGAGAAGTTTATTGCCTCTTTTTACTAAAACTAAAATGATTTCCATAAAAAAATGTTTATATGATGACGTATTATGTCCTTTCTAAAAACAAACGACATACTGTTTTGTTGTCCCTTCAATTGAAACAGACATACAATTATTTCTACCCGATTTGGTGTAAACGACATGTCGTGTAGTAATCATTCTGTATTTTATTATCCGTTCATGTACATAATAACATATCGTATTTCATCTGGAAACTTGCAAAGAAATGACATGATACGTGGTTTGTAGTTTTTTTTTTTTTTTTTTGGCGTTTAGCTACTAAAACGGCATGTCGTTTATGTAAACAAGATTGTTGTTGTTTTCCTTGTAAAGTTTGGTGCTCCGTATTCGTAGATAGATATCATTCATTAACCACAATCACATGTCTGCTATCGTCTTACATTTTCAATTTCTTGCGTTCGTTTATTTTTACGAGTGGAACATCATGTTTTCCATATCTCAGAAAATAATTTCATTTATGGTTCGAATAAAATGGTTTTCCTAGTAATATTGCCTGTCGTTTATTGAAAGTCCTGTAATTAATCGTCCTAGATTTTGTCGTCTGTTTGAACATGGCGGTTTTTTTTTTCTTCTTTTTTGAAATATGGCGTGTTGTTACTTGTTCCTGTATCAGATTTTCCTTTTGCAATCATTTGCAGTACAATACGAGTACAGGCCGTTTGTCGTTTTTTCTCCAAAGGCAACATGTCATTTGAAAGTTTACACATTCAACAACATTAACTGGGCGGGGTAATTAATAATTTTAGTATGTTATTATCTAGAGAAGCAAAGGCTTCATAATGCCAGATTGATTAAAACAGGTTTTCTTTTTTCTCTAGTAATTGTTCTTCAATACATCTGGATTCCATTTTACTATCCACAGATGAATACAAAGAGACGTGTAAATTTATTGGCATTTGTTCATAAATCTCACAGTTAAGCACTGAAAAATTTACTGTACACTTGAATGTTGGTGTTCATCCAAATATAGCTCTGCAAGGGCAGCATATAATGCAGCTCCAATTGGAAGGACATCCTCGTCAAGAAAGAAGAAAGGCGAGTGAGGCGAGTGGATCGAACCAACTTCCTCGTTTCGGATTCCTATGCTAAGCATGGTTCCGGGAATTAATTCCTGATAGAAGGCAAAATCCTCACCTGCCATCACCTTCTTGGCATCCTTGACATTCTCAGGGCCAAGCATGAGCTCTCCAACCCTCTTCACATGCATATGCAAGCTTTCATCATTCACAACAGCAGGCAATGGCGGATATTCTTCTTCTTTCATGTCGACGTGCGCAGTACATCGGTGCACATCTGCCTGTCCTTCAACAACCTACACATAGAACTTACTATTAGGACACTTCTCTTTTCTCTCCGCGTTCTCGAGAAACATATGAGTCAGTAGGCTGCCAGACTAGTAGAATACTTGTAAACTCTATTTAGTATTTACTATCTCTTTTCTCTTTTGTTTAGAACACAATTCCAGCATGATTTTACTAATCAAATCCGAGCGTGATACGGAAAGCGAAAGAGTTGACGAACGATGTGTTTACCTCTTTCAATCGACGCATGAGTTGGAGCAAGCCATCAGTTGTAAGACTCCTCAAAGTACCACCAAATTCGACATGTGACGGGATTACATTTGTTGCAGTCCCGCCTCTGACATACGTGACGGATAGCACCTTCAGTCAGAGAAAAACAAAGCTTTAGCAATATGGCAAGTTTACCTTTTCCAAATAGCATGAAACAAAGAAAATACACACTTGGAGAGTAAAAAGAAAGGGTAATAGGTGCCGGGCAGAGCTGAAATAGATGAAGACTTTATAAGGAGTTTGTTTGGAGATATGTTAGAGATGTCCGGGAAGTTTCACCTATGTTTTTAAGTTCAGATAAAAGAAAGGTTTAAGCAAAAATCTTCAAAGAGAAACATTGAAAATAGAGATGTACCTGACTGTTGAGGGGATCACTTTCCCTAGAGACCAGCTGTTGCAATGCCAAAATCGAAAAGGATGCAGCAAGTACTGGGTCCGTGGTATGATGTGGAGACGCTGCGTGACCGCCTTTCCCAACTATTTTTACATGAAACAAGCATACAGCAGCCAAAAAAGGACCTGCCAAGGATGCTATGCTTCCGGTAGGTGTTTCAAAGTCGACGTGCATTCCAAAGACTGCTTCAGCATCACCAAGAGCACCTTCTTTTATCATGTGTGATGCACCAGCACCACCCTCCTCGCCAGGTTGAAAAAGAAGTCTCACAGTTCCCTTCATATAACAAAAAAAGAGAAAATATCTTTAAGCTAAAGAAGATTCAGAAGAACAACAACAAGTTTCACAGTTTCCTTCATTTCATAATCAAATAGAACGGTGATTCTTTCGGATTAAGCAGATTAGAAGGAGTAATTCCTCTTCTTCTTCTTCTTTACTTGAATTACAGCTAGAAATTTTTAACTAGTTTAAAGACAAAGCAGCCCACTTTTTTTATAACGCGATCTAAACATGCCTTAATAACTTTTTCTTCTCAAAAGCTACAAATCAAACAACTCAGTTTTGCAGGAAAAATAGAGTTAGAAACGTTAATTCCATTGTTGGCCACACCAGGAAACTAGTTTAAATTGAAGGCGTACAAATTCAAAGACCAAAGTTGTTTTCTATTCCCCCTCTCTTTTTTCCCATTTCAGTTGAAAAACCAAAACTTTACTTAAGGTGAACACTCGAAGTATCCAATCAATTCTAAGTGGCATTTCAAATCAGTAAAATACAACTTACAAAAATAAACACCAACTGTTAAAAAAACTAAAAATAAATAAATAAATAAATAACTAGATATTAACTCTAGTGACATGAAAAATAACTGAGAGTAATACTATTACTAACCTTAAGCTTATCTTTCCGTTCAGTAAGCAACTTAGCTGCACCAAGAAGCATTGTGGTATGAGCATCATGGCCACATCCATGCATTTTCCCATCTACCTTGCTCTTATGTTCCCATTCAACAAGCTCCTGTACATCACCAACCAACCAACCCAATAAGCAATAACTCAATAAATCAAGCAAACAAAAGTAGAACAAAACAAAAGGAAAGGAAATGAAGTTTGGTTACTTGCAAAGGGAGGGCGTCCATGTCGGCGCGAAGAGCGACGACGGGGGGAGAGCCGGTGCCGATTTGGGCGACAATGCCGGTTTTGGCAAGTGGGTAGGAGTAAGAGATGCCGAGCTGGTCGAGTTGTGCGCGGAGAAGAGCACTGGTGTTGTGCTCTTGGAATTTGAGTTCTGGGTATTCGTGGATTCGTCTTCTGATTGAGAGAAGCCAAGGTTTGTCTCGTTGTTGGGCTGTGTGGAGAATGTGTTTGGCGTAGCGGGATTGATCCTGGGAACAGAGAGCCGGGCAAATGAGAAAGAGAAGGAGAAGGAGAATATGGAGAGAATAGGCGATCAAAGACGAACCACCCATGTTTGTGTTTTCTTTGAGAGAAACAAAATTTGTGATAGAGAAAAACAGGTTTGTCAGGCGTAGAGCCTAGAGGAGAGGGTTGTTGGAGAACCAAAGTGTATTTCTTCTGCTTGATAAAACAGGGGATTTGGCCGTGGCCGACGTGTAATAGACTTTAGGAGACCGTTTAATTCTTTAATTTAAATTGAAAAATCACTTTAGTGAGAATTTTTATCATAGTAAAAAAAAATTAGATGTGATTAATAAGTGCATAAAAATACACTTAAATTATTCATAATTACTAAATAAATTAAGTTTTAATTAAATATTTTCATAGAATTAATATTTTATAAAAGTATTTAATTTTAATTAATTTTATTTTATTTTGTAAGAAAATAAGGTATTTAGGCCAAAACTAAAAGAATAAAAAGAAAAGAAGCCTATCAGAAGCCCATTAGCCGAATGAACCGTGCAAGCCATTCTTCCAAGCCGCGCCATGTGGTGATTTCTGCCGTGTTCCCCGCTTTACCCTCTCACCCACGCACGCATTTCGTTCACGCCAGGCCCAAATCGTGAGTTATTTGCACGCGCGCGTAAGCCAGCCCCTTTCTTCTTCCGCGTGGGACCCAACTGTCCCCTTCCGCATGCGCGTTTGGCGTGCACTGCTCCTTCCCTGGGTGAGTCTCCTCCACGCGCGCGTCAAGTGGTTCTTCATTTCTCTCCGTGTGGGCCCCGGCTGTGCAGATCCTCCCACTCACAGCGCGCCACGTGTCCCTATGGGACCCAGCTGTCGACCATTTCTTCCACTCCGCGAATCATAGCGTGCCACGTGTCAGAAATGATGCAGCTGTCGACAATTTTCTCCTCTCAACCCCTCTTCATGCGACACATGTCCCACTCGTTTGGGATTCTTCAGCCAGCGATCTGTTTTGTTCCGTTGGGATAATTTCAGCATTCACTCTCAAAATAAAGGCTTGTAAATTTCAATTAAATAGGATAACGTTTTTAGTTTTATTTTCTTTATTATTTTTGTTGTTGATTGTAACTTTTGGCATGGCCCAAAATTTCTATAAATAAGCGCTTGTTAAGTGTATTAGGTTGTTGAATTTTAACCTAAGTGTAGATACTTTTTCTCTTATTTTTACTTTACTTTTGTTCTCATATTTTTTCTTTAAAATTTTGTGAGAATTATGTGCAAGCTAGGCTAGAATTCTTGGGTGAGGCTAAAGATGATCTTATATGTGTAGTAAGCTTGTTTGAGTTTTGATTCACTAATGGTTTGTAAGTTTTACACATTTGAGTAAATAATTTTCTTTTATCATATTTCTTCCTCATAACAATATATTTTATTGTCAACTTTTATATAAATCTAGTCAAGCTCTTTTCATGTGATTGTTGCATGATACTATATATTGGTAGGCATTATTTTATGAGTAGTCTTTTACTACAATATCACCTCGAGGTATATTGTCGCTTTTAAATTTCTCATAAGATAATTTTTCCTAATACTAAACGAAAGAATTTTATTTACTCGAATACATTTTTGTTCACAAGTTCTTCAAATATTTATTTTCTGATTGATTGTTTGGGAAGTGAAACTTTTAATTGAGTCGATTTATGAATCAAAATCCAAATATGTGAACAAAGCATATAGAGGATTCTCAATTTCTTACCACTTTTAATTATTGAATTTTCTCTATTTTAAATTGCATAGTCTTAAAATTAAATTGTTTAAAAATCATAAAAACACTCATTTCTTTTTCTTTGTTCAATTGCTTACCTCTCTAACGCTTTTATTCTACTAATCTCTTTTGTTTGTTTTTATCGCCTTCTCGTGGGATCAACCGTCCTAATTGTGATACAATTGACTGCTTGTTTTTGTATACGTTTGGGCGTAATCAAATTTTAGCGTCATTGTCGGGGAGGTGCAACATATAAAAGCATTCAGTAGATAATTAGCCAAAGAGATAAGTACAATTTTTTTATAATTTATTTTAATTTCACTTTATTTTTCTTTAGTTTCTAGTCGTGTGTTTTTGTTTACTGATTTGATTAGTTAAGTTTGGTTTGTACGTTTTTGTTAGTGTGATTTGTATATTATGTTTTTGTTTTCTTTGGGTTTGTCTTTTAGTGGTCAGTTTCTTTATTAGTTAATGTATGTAATAAATAGTTTATAATTCTATTGTTTTAATATTATTTTAGTAATCAGTTTAGCGTTTTTTGTGTTTTTTTTTTTTTTTAAGTATTGCCGGTAGTCGGTCTCTTTTTGTTAATCATTTTATTTTCATTTTGTTTCTGTTAAGTTTTATTACTTTTATTTTGCTTTGTCTGATTAGTAGTTTTTGTATTTTGTCTGTTAATAGTTTCTTGAGTTTCCATTTTTTTTATTCACTTTTAAAAAAAAAAAAAAAACATTTGGGCGTAAATAGTGACTGTTTTTGAAAGTTTTTTACTTAGTAAAACTCAAATGAATAAGACCTAAAATAGAGTGTATATAAAAAACGTCCTCAATCTGGCAGTCGTATTAGTCCAGGGAATATAACATTTATTATTTGTCAACGTGTAGTATTATGTATACATTTGTGTAATACTCAAGTTACACTAAAAAAGTTAGAAACCTATATGCAAAATATTATACTCGTTGTGTGTATATAATTCTAAATTTTTAAAGGGACTAACTATAAACTTTTACAAAATAAATATACAAAATTAAAAAGCAAAAAATGTAGATGGAGTGGTCGTCTATTCTCAATAAGTTGTGACTATGAAGATGGATACGCCTCGAACTGACCATCAAGAATCAAGTAACTGTAACAAAAAGACACAAGTTCATTTAAAATAAAATAAATAAATAAAAGGTTTTTACAGTAACAAAAATAAATAAATAAAGCTCTTTACTATTTTTGTCTCCAATCCTTAATAGCGGTTGGGTTTTAAAATTTTTTAGAGAATAATGCGGCTAATTCAAATATTAAATTATCAAATTAGATTTTTGAAGAAGAAACAATTAAATTACCAAAAAAAAAAAGATTACACATACTGAATAATTATTGTCTAGAATTTAACTCATGTTTGTTAACAATTTAAATTAGTCAATCCCTTATTAAAAATTCGAGGACTCAAATCAAACTAAAAGAATCATGCTAAAAACCTTAAAATAAAAATAAAGAGAAAGACAAAAAGAAAAAACAAGAACAAAGGCGGAAATGGAAATAAAATTTAGACCTCGTTCACTTCGTGAATTCGAGTTTTCAATTTAAGTTGAGATGTGATATTTTCTAAGAGCTTTTCACTGTAGTAGAAAAAGTTAGATGTGACATTTTCTGAGAACTTTTTACTGTTAAAACTTAAAACTGAAAACTCGAATCGGTAAAATGAACGAGACCTTATATTACAAATGAGTTATTGACAATGCGAGAAATGAAAGAATGTTTATATTCGATCTTGGAGAACTCAATGGTTGGTTGGAATATGGTTAATGTATGAAGAGAGTAAGGCCCCGTTTACTTCACTGATTCGAGTTTAGAATTCGAGTTGAGATGTGACTTTATGTTAGAGCTTTTTACTGTAACAAAAAAGTTAGATGTGATTGTTTGTGAGAGCTTTTTACTGTAGAAAAACTCGAATTCTAAACTCGAATCAGCGAAGTGAACGGGACCTAAATAAGCAACTAGATCAAGGTCTAGTTCTATCTTTTTTTTTTTTTTTTTTTTTTTTTTTTAATTATTCATTTTTTTTTTGCTGAATTACTCAATGATAGATTAGTCATTTGGAAGGAAGGCAATGTAAATGCGGACCCGCATCAAAGGTTATGAAATTTTGATAGTAACAAAACTGATATAAATTCTCTCGAGTCTCGACATCCTTTGAATATAACATGAATAGTGTGCTTGAAAGTGAAATAAACCAAACTTCATGGCATAACATAAAATGGATGATTTTTCAGCCGAAAAAAGAAGAGGGGAAAAAAGAGTATCAATGTTTAAGATGTTAAACCTTATTTGTGTGCATATATGTAGGAACTCCAGCTAATTATTCATCTTCATATAGTAATACGCAGCTAAACCTAAATTCAGAATTATACATGGAAGCCGCAAAAAAGACGCTGCTACATAATCAAAAACACACAAAGTACAGTTAGTCCAGGCTTCTATAATGCTGCTATACACATAAATAAATATAAAAATAAAAAATAAAAAAAAAATAAAAAATCTATATCAAAGAAGCCCAATCCGGGCCCCACATAAAAGGTAGTAGGACCTGCTCGTAAGACCTCCAAAGCACTAGAAATTAAGACATCTCCACATGCTAGTGAAGCTTATGAACAAGACGGCAAACACAACTACCCTAAACATAAAGGAAAATAACCAGGTTGAGCCAGTCTCCGAGAACACAGAAATGACCTTCTTCTTGCCCGTCTTCGAGATTGAGTATGATCTCATTGTTGTGCCTGGTTCTTGACATGTTTTACCGTCATCAACAGGACCCGAGAAGGGTGTTTTCTGGGGTTCGTCCACGCTACCAGTGGCGTGCTGTTCAACAGCTTTTTCCTCCTGCAAATAGCAGTAGAATAGCCTTTCAAGAATCCATGTGATAGACATCAGCGGATTGTAAAGAAAGTTGCAGCTTCAAAGCTAATTACCTCTTTAACTACCGGTTTTGATTCTTCTTCCGGCTTATTGTTCTGACGTCCTACAGACTTGAAGCTGCAGCTAATTTGAAGTTTCTTCTGCAAGCGTAATCTTCTCGGTGCAGCCCCTTGTATCATCGTTACATGTGGTGCCTCGGTTTCAATGCTGCTTGGTGGATTCTGCAGCTGGCGAGTCCTCCTGATTATCACAGGTCCGGAATCCTCGTTCAAAATTGGGTTCAAATCATTGATAGATACTGCAGAACCAAATGGCAGAACATTTCTGCTGTAGGGCTCAGCATGCGCTAAATAACCAGTACTGTGATCTTCAGGATTTTCTGTGTATATGGAAGCCTCTCCAGGAAAAGTGCCCACAAAGGACATCGCTCCTTGCAATCCTGCCTCAAGCTGCATGCAATGAGAAAAATCTAAGGTTACTTTCAAGAGAAAAAAAAAATCTCAAAGTGGTTCGAAGAAACCATCATTTTGGACATAGTAAGCGCACAACCTAGTTATTGCAGAAAAAGAAAACTCAACGACTTGGGACAAAACTTACTAGACCAACTGATAAAAAGCGCCTTGAGAGCTTCATCTCACCTTCTCTAATTGAGCTTGTCCATCACCATATAACACACCATTGAAACCAGAAGCTGCATTCGTCATTGTTGTGCTCTCGACAACCTGATTATTTTCGGTGACAAAATCTTCCGTTGCATCCTCCCCTGAATTATTAAGAACGGACTTCAGGAACTGAGTGACATCATCCGACTCATTGGTCCCGTACTGAAACTGCACCCCACTATGACCAGTGCTACAATCATTGGCAACAGGGTAATACATGCAAGAAGATCCTAGCTCGGCTTGCATCTGTGAGTGCAGAGGAGAAAATATTTTGCAATCTAGCGGCCCAGGTGTGGGGGCATAAAAAATTTTCAGGTCTTCCTCCAGCTCCTGATCACTCTGTAGAACAGAGCATGGACAAAACGGAACAACTTAAATTATCTTGTTTTATCCCACTGAAAACAATACTAAACAAAGACTCAGACCCTCCACACTCACCTCACTAGCTGTTTCTTCTATCCCTTGATCTCCTGCATCATAAGCGCTATAGCTATTGCTGGGAAAAGCAATAGCTCCTCCCGCCTCTGATGTCATGTCATCAAAAGTTTCGATCATCGAATATTCTATTTTCGTGGGAAGCATTTCAGGTTGCTTTCCAGATGCTAGAGGTCCTAGAGTCACTTCTTGCTCGGACTGCGTATCCACAGGAGAAGATTTGGTGATAGGAGATGACACAGTTGTTTCAGCTGCCTCACAGTTCACACCTTCAATACTCTCATCATGTTTCTTGAACAAACGACAGAGGACAAAGGGACTCTGGATAAGATTGAACAACATATATATGAGAAACATAACTAAAAGGGTCCAAGCCACATTCTCAAATTTCTCCACCTTAAATTTGCTCAAAATCTCAAATCAAGCAATGTGTTTTAACAAATAAACAAGTCTAAATTATGAATTTGGAATGGAAACAAAAACATAGAAACAAAGCAACTGATACCAAATAGGGCAGAGAATAAGCAAATAGAGAATAAAGAACTACCTGGCCAGGGTTAGTTCCATCGAGCTCCTGCAACGTGGGGCGATACTCGTGCATTACCCAGTTGGTCCTCTTCCCCTTAGGAGCACGGCCTGTGTAGAAGACCAAAGTCTTCTTCATTCCAATCTGGAGTGTTCCGGACTTTATCTTACGATCTCTACCAGTTGCCTTCCAATATCCTGCCTTTGTAGCCCTGTTCAACCGATGCCCATTTGGGTACTTCCGGTCCTGTGGACAGAAGAAGAACCACTCCGGATCCCTCGTAGGTATCATCGATAAATCTGCAGCCAAAACAAAGATTAATTAAATTTAGACAAACATGAAGGCCAAACACATGAACATTTTTAGTGGAAAATCAAAAAAATTCAATCAATCCTCCCAAATGAAAAGAAACTCAAACTAACCTAATTATCACTTAAGGATCACAGGAATCACACAATTCCCAAGAAAAACGAAACAATTTAAGTCCAATTGGAAAACTTAAGGCCCAAAATGACAAATTTAGTGGGAAAAATGAAGGAGTAATCTTGACAAATACCCTTTAAAAGTGCATGGGTCAGAATTTTTACCCTTTAGTCTTGATTCATAACCTTTTCTATCAAATAATTACACTAACAAAAGAGTATTTACGAAGAATTAAAGAGTAAAAGTCCAGACTCATGCACTATTAAGGATAAATTCTCTATTTTTTTCAAAATGGGGTGATGATGGTGGGGAATTAAATCAATCGATTAAAGTTAAGTCTAATATAAAAAATCTCACAATTGCAACAAAAACAACAACAAAAAAGGGTAAACAATTTATGTCAAGCTCAATAGAAAATTCATTGTACGCATATATACAAGGAAAAGAAAAGAATCAACAAACAATTAAATCAACATAAATGGCTAATTTCTAAACCAACAAATTAAATTAAAGAAAAAAAAAGCATAATTTTTTTTTTCTTTCAATTGGAGCAAATAGAATGCGAATGAGAAAAAGGTACCAGGCAAATCCCAGGGCTCCAATTTACAAACATCGATTTCGCGAATAACAGAGACTAGTTGAACCTCGCCATTGATCTTCAACCGCAAGTAGTAATCGACGAGCTCCTCGTCCGTCGGTCGGAACCTGAACCCCAGAGGCAGAGAATTCAGGGAGGACAAAACCGCCATTTCACCCACTGCCATGATTTTCCACCACAAAAATACACACAGAGAGAAAGAGAGAGAAACAGCTATAGAGAGAGAGTGAATCAATCAATGAACCATAAGCTGAAGAGCGAGAACTGGGAAAGAGAGCCCAATTTCATGAATTTAAAAAAAAAAAAAAAAAAAAAAAGATAAACCCTAGGAAATCGCTAGGAATCAAGGAGAGTTCAGTCAGATGATGGTCCCATGGGCCATGGATTTTTTTTTTTTTTTTCTTTGGATTCGCAGGTAAGAGAAAAGCAGAGCAAACCCAGAGAAAGTGAAAATCAGAGAGAGAGGTCGAGAGCGAGTCGAATCGGTGAGTTCGGTCGACGAGTCTCTCTGTCGGGTTCCGATTCTTCCGAAGACCAATACCCGCGCTTATATCCCCTGTATATTCCGCGTTAATTTTTAACCTTCTTCTTGTTTGTATTTTCGGATTTACCATTCTCTCTTGGAAGCTTGCGGGGGGGAATTCAGTACTAACGATGGTCAATCAAGGGTAGAATGGAGAAACTGAACGAGATCTAAATGAACGTTAAGGTGGCAAATCAATCAGGAACTGCCACGTGTTAGCTTACGTAGGCTGAATCGATGGGCCCGCGTTTTTCCATTACTATAATATGGGAAATTGCCATGAATCTTGCTCTCTGCTTCCTCGCTGCTTCTAACTTTCACATTATTAAGATCATTTTTCAACGATTTACTTTTTTTTTTCTTTTGTTAATTCTTTTAGGGATGGTGTCGTGATAATATAAGGAAAAAGTTTGTGCTATGATGATGAAAAGAAAACATATCATTTATGGCAAGAAAAAATATAAAATATACATTGAACATAAGTTCAACCATTTGTGTATTATCAAATTTGTGATATGAACTAGCAAAAAGAAAATTTGTGGTATGGTATTTTTTACTTCAAAAAAAAAAATTATTTGTGATATGGTATGATCAAACAGTTAAAAAAATACAAATAAATAGGTACCTTGCATATTTTGTCTTTTTTTTAAAATAAAAAAAAAATAGGTAGCTAGCAATTTTTCAAGAAAAAAAAGGCAATTTTACAAGAAAAAAAACGTTTGGTTGGAGGATTCAAACTATGTGATTGGAACCATTTTCAATTTACGTGAATTTTTTGTGAGAGAAAATACTGTAGCGAACCACGAATCATGATTCGAATCAAGGAACGAATCTCTCTACCAAACATCAAACTTCCCATTTTCCTAATATATCCACGTCACATTTCAGTTTGGTGGAGGGTCCCTATAAAGGGCAAAAAGTAAAATATTGCCCATAGGCAGGGACTAGGAAGGAAGGGTCGTCTTGTCAATAGGCCTTTGATTGGGGTCCTAGCCTTGCAATTCTGAATCTTCAAGGTTAAGGAACACGCATTATAGAAGTGGGAAAAAAATTAATATGTATATATTATACATTGATAGTGAAATAGCAAACAGCGGAGTAAAATCTAGCTGAAAATTTTTATATTTGGGAGAAATTTCAGATTTTTGGATGAAAGCGACATGTCTATAATGTTTTTCTCAATCTCTAGTGGGCGTTTTCTAACTTTGCTATATGTAATTTGATTGAATTGATGACAAAAAGTTTACCCTCTTGAATTTGAAAGCAAATTATAATGGCAATACCATGAAAGTTGTTTCCAATGAATGGGAGTGACAATAAGCGATATATTCTGCAGTCTACACTTGAAATAAACAAGTCTGGCTCATTTGGTTTATAAGTCTGAAAAAAAAAAACTATATTGTAGTAAAAATATTTAAACAGTAATTCAAATCTATAAAATAAACTCATGCGGATCACTTTTTTTTTGTTGAAGGACCCGTTTAATTCGGTGATTCAAGTTTTTAATTCGAGTTTAGGTGTGACTTTATATGAGAACTTTTTACTGTAGCAAAAAAATAAAATGTGATTATTTCTGAGAGCTTTTTACTATAAGAAAACTCAAATTCTAAACTTGAATAGTAAAATGAACGGAGCTTAAGTTTGCCTTATAGACAACTCCATTCCCTTTTGTGAGCATTCAATATACTCATTTATATCACTTGTGGTAATCATCATATTCATTTTTTAACCAGCCAAATACTGACGTATAAAAATGGTGTGGAATTGCATGTTATAATCAGTAAATTGGTAGTCGAGATGTAAAATTGTTAGTCTTATTGATTGGAAAATATGATGATAATCCAAGTAGTTATGTGTATTGGGAGAAAGAGGAAAATATGCTAAGATTTGAGATGAATTAAAATTAATAGGCCAATAGTTTACGTAAGTTAATAAATAGGCCAAATTATTATTTTTGTCCATAACTTGTCTGATTATGAACTATAATTTGACAAGTTATTCATGGTAAAATTATTATTTTCGTCCATAACTTGTCTGATTATGAACTATAATTTGACAAGTTATTCATGGTTTTTGTCCATAACTTGTCTGGCTATGAACCATAACTTGACAAGTTTATCCATAACTTATCTGATTATGAACTATAACTTGACAAGTTATGACCTATGAATTTCTATAATTAAAAATTGACCTATATACTTTCTTAAACTTTTTATATTAGTATATTTTCTACCATTTCCAATATGTATTTAGTATAAGTTTTCGTATGTAATTATTTTTTCTTATAAGAAAAGAATTCAACAATTTTGTTGAACTAAACTTGTGACTTATTTACTTTATGTAAGCTCTATCCTAGATCATAGTGTGAACACAAGGGAAAATAAATAATAAAAATAAATAATAAAAAATAAAAGAGAGAAGATGGTGCATCAACTAGGATCTATTCTATTGGTTATAACCTTTTGAGCGTGGAAAGTGATTTGTGACTCAGAGAAACGGCAAGAAATAGGCTTTTAATGGGGAACAAACGTGAAGGCGAATATTTTTCGCACTTTGTCCCTACCACGTAAACAATGAATTCTTTTTAACTTTAAAGTTAAAGGTTTCTTTTAACTATAAAGTTAAAGGTTTCATCTTCCACTATCTATTTATAAATTGCGAGTTCTTCTATCAATTTGGGCTTTTCATTCTTTAATTTGAGGAAATTAAATAGAAAAAAAAAATTAGTTTTAAGTTGAGTTTGACATGATTTGTGGGTGCGTGTTTCTTAATCACAGGAAATTAAATAGAAAAAAAAAATAGTTTTAAGTTGAGTTTGACATGATTTGTGGGTGCGTGTTTCTTAATCAAGGAAACATCCCACCTTAATTAGAGCATTAAAGAATGAAAAAAGTTTAGCATTCATCCTTAACAAGAATTATAAGTAACACTACAAGTTCCTAAATCCCTAAGACCAACTTAAATTATCTTCCACTTTTTCTGAGGATTTTTATACTATTATTTCCTTAAAAGAAAGTGTTAAATTTCCACTTATTTTATCTTTTATAAGCAGGAGAAAGAATCAGAATTTGTCATCATTCCCTACATCTTTTCATTGCAACTCCGAATTATTATCTCTAACATCTTCCTAAAGAGATTTCAACTTTCCATTGTATCCTTTCTAAAAGAAAACCTTAATTTTTTTTTTTTTAGGTATTAAAGTGACATAAATGTTAAAGTTCTGAACCATGCCCTTGAATAAATAAATACACTAGGAAAGTTTTTAATTATATTAAATTTTAATACATTGTTTCATTCTCTTGTTTGTTCTCCTGTCACTATTTGCCAAGTCTATGGCACCCTTCTTTTTGTTTTTGCTTGAATTATTTAATCATTTTAATTTTTTCTTTCTATTGTTTGTTTTTTCTTTTCTCAGTCATATCAAATGACTGAAATCAACTTTAATTTAATAACATTACTTCTTTTTGCTAATCTAATTAGGGCTGGCAATTCGTGTTTACGGGCTGTGTTCGGGCCAACACGATTACAGCACAATACGATTATAGTGAGCATGAACACGATACGATTAATAAACGTGTCAAAAATCCAAACACAAACACAAAATGCTAATAACACGGTTAACACGACACGACACGCGAACACGATTACTAAACGTGCCGTGACGGGCCGACACGAAAAAAACACGTTTATGACCCGTTTATGACCCAACTAGCAAAAATAGTGAAATTTTATATTGTATTCAAAATTATATTAATTGACTACTTAATATCACTTATAGTTAAAATCATGCATAATAGCTAACACACATTAAAATATCCAAATATCAAACACACACATGCATACACCCTCCTTAACAAAATTTCTCTCCTGAAAAACTATATACCCTCCTCCTGAAGAATTAATGAAATTATAATTGCACGTCCTGATCTCACACTCAGAAAAACTGATACAATAGGCATGCTACAAATAAGCAAGTGACCTTCTACAACAGCTGTCAAATGACTTTAGTGCAAAATGTTGTACTCAACTTCTTACAGAAACTTGTTGCAACAATTTCTATAATATTTACTGTTAAAAAGTTGATTTGAAAAACCAATCACGTTAATTCTTGAAGTCTTTCTATGTAAAGCCTCACAAACCTACACGTGATCCTCATAAGTAAGTGAAATTCGTCTAGCTAGCCAAATCACATTCATATCAATCAAATCATCAATCATTAACTTACCGAACTTGAAGCAAATGTTAACTTTCACGTGGCATTCTAATACCCACACATATCATGTGGCATTGCCATTAACGTAGGCAGATAAAACTAATTCAACAACAAGAAATTCTAATAATGCAAATCCAATTGGATAGGAGAGAACCTCTATAGTTATTAGAAGTTAAACATAAACAAGTTACAAGGAAGAAGAAAATTCACAAGTTTGATAAGAACTATCCTGCGGCAATAAACTCTCTCTTCCTTATCATGTATACATCCTTCAAAAGAAACCCCACAAAGTGATCTTAAATTTCTACTCCAATAAATACATTCTAGCAATCTATGCATGCTGATTTGAGGACCATATCCACCTGAATTTCCCCCAAAATTCTTTGAGCAACCAAGCCGAAAATCCCATCACATTCCTCTCCAATAAAATTAACCAAATTCCTCAACATTCTAAAACTTCAAATACCTAAAGTAATCCTATAAACTTTCCATAAATTTCTTATTCAACACATACATTCTTGCTATTGAAGCAATATAAACCAATATCCATATTAGTTTTCTCCAAATTCTCCGAGCAACCAAGCCGGAAATCCCACACTCCTCTCCAATAATATTAACCAAATTCCTCAACATTCTAAAACCTAAATACGCAATGCAATGCTATAAACTATTCTTTAATTACTTATGCAATACTTTATACATGCATTATTCTTGCTATTGAACAGAGAAATTCGTCAGCACGCATAAATCCCCAAATACACAGCCAAACCCTAAAAATCCAAATTATGCATAGAATAGCAGCAAAGATTCAAAAACTAAATACCTCCAAATCGATGCCCATCGTCTCAGCAACATGGCGCATAATCGAGTGAACGAGCTTGCTCTTGTTGTACCTCTCCTCGCATGCCTGAATATCCTCTTCCAAAACCCTACGCTTGCTCAAATCGATGTAGCCCTGAGGAGATGGAAACGGCGAGTGAGGACTGAGGCGGGCGTGAGGAGTGAGGCGGGTGTGAGAGAATGAGAGAGAGAACTTAGGGTTTTCTCTTAAAAAAAAAAAATATATATATATATATATATGACCTTAATAAACGGGTCGGGCCGTGTCGGCACGATAATGGCCCGTATAATTAAACGGGTTAAGTGTGTTAAACGGGCTGGCACGAATCCAGCCTTTTTATTTTCGTGTTATTCGTGCCAGCCCGTTAACGGCCCAATTAATAATCGTGCAGTTCAAACTCATTTATCTCGTGTCGTGTCAGAAATTGCCGGCCCTAAATCTAATAACATTACTTCTTGTTCACCAATTCTTGCAAAAATTCCTAATTTCACTGACTTGTGTCAGTGAATAAGTACATGTAGGCTACAGATTTTCCATTAAAGAGGCTAATCTTTTAGGTTGGACCAATAATTTTCCTTGCAAAGTTTATTGTATAAAATTCAATTCTATTTTGACTGTAACTATAATAATTAACATACAAAGTTGACACAGCAACCAATTATAGTGAAACTGCAAAGTGCCATTTACACAGGGAAATAGAGAAGGAAGAATCTGGATTGAAACATACACTTTTTCTAAGCAAAAATCTTCAAGAAATCACATAGACGTGGGAGACCAGATATGGAGTTTATCAGTATATGCAGTTCAATTTGTTCACAAAAAGTTTGGCTTATCAAATGGGTTTTAGTGGAGCAAAAATCTCTTACTAGACAAGTTGTGTTGAAATTAAACCAGAATGCAAAAGTTACTTGGACAGTGCAAATCACCATGCTACAAAAAGGTGATATTGCTGTGTGGGCTTAAATCTATTTACAAATGTACAAAATCTTGAACTTCTTCTCTCGCTTTCTTTTATTCCGTTTTGGGATGGAAAATCAGAACAAAACTTCCACCTTGTGTAAACTGAATAGCAGAAGGCCAGTGAAATGCTCGAAAGGAATAGGAATGGAAGCAGAGTTCTTCGCGAAAATGGTTCGTTAAACCAAGAACTTTGATGGCCCAACTTCCATTAGTATCTTTCGTGTTTCTTTATGCACAAGCAAGCTTAAATCTTTGGCACTACGAAGGCTCGTCAAGATATTAACTGGGAGCATGGCATCCTAATTGGTGAAAACACCACGGTGAGGCGTGCGTGGTCTGAGAGAGAGTAGTCATCAGGCCATCTCCCTTTCTCTACTTCAGGAGGGAAGAGAACTGCATTTTTTATGCTGAAACCGATTGTTTGTTGCTTGTTGTCCTTTGAACCGCCGTCTTGGACCATGCTTACATGTTCGTCTCCTTGTTCAGACCCCGTTGAATTCCAAATTCGCTGCTGCAAGGCCATAGTTTACAGCACAAAGATCACTATTTACGAACTTATTTTATTCTTAGTTAACTTGTTTCTTGAGCCAAACTCCAAAAGCAAAGGAAAATTGAGGCTTTGTTAAGTGTTCTAATAATAACAACATATAAATAAACAGAGAAATTGTGGATGAGAATAATGTACCTGAAATTCTTTGAAATCAAGAACTCCATTGCCATCTATATCTGCTTGAACCCACAAGTCCTTTGTTTCTTCAACGTTGAGTCCATAGCAATGGCCAATCAAATTAAGCTGAAGAAAAGAAATGTTATATTAGTCAACATATTTCATAGATAAACAAGTTCAAGTAGTTTGATTAGGGTAAAAAAAAACAAAAAACAAAAAAGGACCATACCTGTCGAAGTGCTTCACAGAAACCTGAGTAGGTTATGTAGTCGTCGCGATTATCAGCCTTGAGAAAGGCAAACGCATCATGTTCTGTCAGCGAAGCTCTTCTAAGTAGATACTGAAAACAGAAAGTTACAAAATCTTTAGAGACTGAATAGCTGAACATAAAAGTAAAACTTGTGTTCAATATGGTCACTGCGTGAAATTTATAAAAGTCGTGGCTATGTAACTTGTGTAAGGTAGAATTGACCTTGAACATGCCAAATACTGCTTCAATCCAACTCATTTTTAGGAGTTTCCTGTAACTGTTAGGATTAAGAAGCCATATGAAATCGACACCGCATATGTTCCCCCGATGGTTGCGATGGCTGACCCACTACAATAGGCAGAATGAAACTATCAGTACCGGCATAAGAATGAAATTCTAATTCCTAAAAATAGATAATTATACACTAGAATCAAATGTTTGATTTCCCTCCTATTTCACTTCGTTCCTTTCCAAACTCTTTCCCTAAAGAGTGATATTGGAGATACTGACCTTCTGTGCATCGGCATCGGTATACTGATGAGCAGTGTCATAAGATGAGACAAATCCTTGGGACCTAAGGAACTTGTAAACATGTCCACGTTTGCTTCCATTCCAGTCACTGCAAGAAACAGACATTGCAAGAGTACTTTAACAAATTAGTGACACTCTAAAACAGGAAAAAGAGAGAGCAAAATGTAAAGAAACAAAAGGGTAACCGAAGGCGCAGGCAGTAAGATTACCCGCAGAGTATTATGGACATGGGATTCAGATTGTTCTCCTTCTGATAAGATTCTACCCATTGCAGGATTTTGTAGACCTATTATGAGAGACAACAAAGTATGATCAACAAATGACATTATGAAGAGTAAGTAGACAAAAACAATTGACACTCAAATAAAAAGACAGAATGGAATGGAAAACGAAGTTACCTGATTCAATCTTACTAGACACAAACTCGAATCATGAGGAAACAACAAGTGAGTGTTCACGATGAGAATTTCCTGCCGAATATCATTGTTATTTCGACACTGCGCAATTGGGGTGGCTAATTCGACGTGTAACAACTGAGCAACACGATCCCCGCAATCGTTGAAAAGCAACTCTCGACAGTTAAGTACTCTAAAGTAGTCCTTGTGGACCGCAGTCAGTAAGCCTGCAGGATCCAACAAAAACATCTTAATCCGATGAAGAAAAAAAAGAGACTGTCATAACAATGCTCAAAATTAGATCGTAGTAACAATGTACTATTAGATTTATGTAATCGGTTTGAGTATCTACAGCAAATGTAAATCTCAATAATCACCAACTCCCTCTTCTATCTATTTCTTGATGTATGACTGAACAAAAAGAAGCATTCTTCAATGGGAATATAACATTATTCTCGGAAGAAAAAGCCCAATCTCGAACATCTTAGGTCCGAGTCTTACTAGGACTCTCGCACTTTTGACTAATTAGGCTTCTCGACTGTTTCTTTGGTAAACAATCTCCCCCAACATAAGGTTAGTCTACAATCAACTAAGGTAAAAGCATATCTTTTAAAAGATTATTCTTCTTCAAAATGAAAAAGCTCAAAAAACTTTGTTTATGTTGGTGTGGATATCATGAGTCTTACTAGGACTCTCGCACTTTTGACTAATTAGGCTTCTGGACTGTTTCTTTGGTAAACAATCTCCCCCAACTTAAGGTTAGTCTACAATCAACTAAGGTAAAAGCATATCTTTTAAAAGATTGTTCTTTTTCAAAATGAAAAAGCTCAAAAAACTTTGTTTATGTTGGTGTGGATATCAGACCGGCAAAAAAAAAAAAAAAAAAAAAAAAAAGGC